ACCTTTCTTGGTTGGTGGACCAGAGGGAAAGGGAGGGGGAAGCATTTTACACATGTCTCTGTGTGTACACACAAACAGGGCTGCAAGTAGGCATGATGCAAATGGGGCAGTGCTAGCCTGCGCATGACACCAGCACTGCCACATTTTTGCCACGCGGTGTCCCGTTTTCTCCGTGACCGAGGCAGTAGAGCAAATGGGGGTGAGCACACATGTGTGCCCTGACCAGACTTTTCTATGGCCTGCTAGACAGCAAGCCATGGCCTGGTAGTGGGCCATGGCCCACAGGTTGCGGACCCTGAACTAACCAATGTAAGGTTTGCCTTCAGAAGTTGTAGGTGCTCCTTTTAAGCAGAGATATAGACATTCCATTGTCTGGAATGGTATAGGTCTCCTGCTTGAGCAGGGGGTTGATCTAGATCAGGGATCGGCAACCTTAAATATTCAAAGAGCCACTTGGACCTGTTTCCCACAGAAAGAAAACACTGGGAGCTGCAAATTGTGCGCATGTATGCAAGCTTGCTGGAGGTGGGGGGCTTGATTGAAGAGTTTAATTAAAAAGAAATAGAGAGTGCTGTGCATGACTTTCTCTCTGTCTCTCTCTCTCTCTCTCTCTCTCTCTCACACACACACACACACACACACACACACACTCTCTCTCTCCCTCTCTCTCTCCCTCTCTCTCACCCCCTCTCTTTCTCTCTCTCTCCTCTCTCTCCCTCTCTCTCCTCTCTCTCCCTCTCTCTTTTTCTCTCTTTCCTCTCCCTCTCTCTTTTTCTCTCTCTTTCCTCTCCCTCTATCTTTCTCTCTCCCCTTGTTTTTTCTCTGTCTCCCTTTCTCTCTCCCTCTGTCTTTCTCTCTCCCCCCTCAATCTTTCCTCTCTCTCTCTCTGTCTCTGTCTCTGTCTCTTTCTCTCTCTCTCTTCCCCCTCTCTCCAATCTTCTGCTCACCTGGCAAGCTGGCTTCATGCTGTTCTCAGACAAGCTGGGACTACCATTCTTATTGGGCTGGCTCTCTCCTGCCCTTGGTCTGTCAGTCCTCTTCCCCTACTCTCTCTCTCTCTCTCTCTCTCTCTCTCTCTCTCTCTCTCTCTCTCTCTCTGTGTGTGTGTGTGTGTGTGTGTGTGTGTGAGAGAGAGATATGCTACTTGCTGCTTCCTGCTGCTTCCTGCTTCTTGCAGAGATGCAGCAAAGGAGGAGCCCTGCCCAATAAGCTTCTCGGCTTGGAGAACAGTATGAGGCCACTCTCTTTCTTACAGAGAGAGAGAGAGAGAGAGAGAGAGAGAGAGAAGGGAAGCACAAGTGCCCTTGTGGGTTGCCGACCTGTGGTTTAGATAGAAGATCTCTAATGGCTCTGTCATTCTTTGAGTGAAGTGCTGCCAACCTCTCCCCCTTCCCTCGTCCCTTCCTTGGCAGGGATGAATTTTAATACAGAAGATTCTCAAAATGAACATGATAATATAATATTTTTTTGGTTTGGTTCACCAAAGATAGTACGAAGTTCCTTTTTTATATTTACATTTACATTTCCAACATGCATCTGAAATACTTTTATACATGTTTGACAATTTATTGGTTGTTAAGGATCAAAGATACATCATAGCATAAAAAATTTCTTTCAGATTGTAATTAAGCGTAATTAAACCCTTTAGCCACATGTTTTCCCATTGTACAAGTTTTATATTATACCCTGAATTTTTTTGTCCATTTGATCATATACTGTTTCATATATTCATTTTCCACATTCAGTTTCAGTGACAATTTATAAACCTTAGCAATAGGTTTGTAAACCAGTAACGGACAAATCCTTCTGACTCCAACTCTTCTTTGGACTTGAGAGTAAGTTCACTTATTTAACCATAGGTCCACCAGTCTGGCCTCACTATCATTTATTTTCTAAGAGAAAGCTTCCTAAGGTGACACCCAAAGAGTTAATTTCATAGAGAACTTTATTTTATATTTATTCCAGAACCCTAGGGTGGCACACCTAGCAAAAAGATTCTTAAAGTCAACATTTATTTTAATCTTGTCATCCCATAAGTGGGCATGCCATCCAAATCTTAGTTCATGACCTTCTAATTTGAGTAATCTCTTATTTTGGAGAGTCACCCACTCTTTCATCCAGATCCAAGAGCAGGTATCAAAATACAGTTTCAAATCTGGTAAACCCAAAGCTCCTCTTTCTTTATCATTTTGCAGTAGTTTACCTAATCCTAATGCTAACCCTTACCAGATGAATTTAGATTTATTTATTTTTTGCCATTGGTTAACTACAGTGTCAGTTGTCAATATCAGTAAAGTCTGGAATAAAAATAACATATTCCAAAGAGAAACAAAAGTACTTATATTCTTTTCTTTTATGAAAACAATCAATTGGGCCATCTCTGCTAATTCCATCAGCTTTTGTAAACATTTCTGCATGGTGAGAATGGAAGCCTCCTTCCATTTTTGTGCCAGTTTTGTTGCCGTCACCATATATAAAACCAGAGTTCCAAATTGTTTTTCCAAGTACAAAATTGTTTTGAAACAATTTAGACTTTTTACTTGTCAATGTAACCCCAGATATTTAACCTTTGTCTTTGCCCGAAACCTAGTTTCTTGCCAATGTTTTATAATCTTGAAAATTGAAGTTCTTAACAAATACCGTATATGCTGGCGTATTAGGTGACCCGGCATATAAGACGACCCCCGTCTTTATAGCCGGGCCGCATTCCTAGAACGTCATCTTATACGCCGGAAACTACCAGTATTTCCGGCGTATAAGACGACTCGGCGTATAAGACGACCCCCGTCTTTGGCGCCGATTTCAGCGCTCGCGGAAGTCGTCTTATATGCCGGCATTTACGGTATTTTTGTTTTCTGTTGATCCAGTCAGGATCTGCTTTGCGTATTTACTGTAAATTTTTTTCCAATTTCCCTGCACCAACTTCATTCACTCTGTCAATATGCAGTTTTTGTTCCTCTTCCTCTTCTCTGTATAATTATCAAAATCACAATGATTACTTCATCTTCCACTAAAGCCTAAGGGACTTCTTTCAGCCACAGTTATTTTGAAACAAGGTAGATGTTAGTAACCCTCATCAATGGATTTCACAAATATTTAGTAATTCTTATAAAAATCTGAAAATCTGGTTCACAAGGACCTCATGGTTGATGAAGAACACACGGTGAGACTCCTGTAGGCACAAATGTACAGGTCGGAATTTTAATGTTGTCCTTTTAATGTGCCAGATTAAATTTCATCTTGCTTGATCAAGTCAGCCTATCTGTGTTCTTTGGCAAGAGAAGTGTGCTTCTCCTTAGACAGCTCTGAGGCCAAAGACAGTGGGCACCTGTCTCACAGAACTACAGAAGATCTCCATCATGATATCTGAAATACTGCTGATGCTGCTTCCTCTGGTATCCCATTTTCCATGTGGGACGCTGATGACCAAATGTCCATTGAACATACAAAAAGAGGGAGGTAGCAAATTTAATTATTACAAGTCAGGAGATTTCCTGATTAGTGGAATCATTTCTACATCAAGCACAGTATTTAAACCATACGTCTTCTTTAAGCCTCCATATCACAGATTTCAAAGGTAATTCCTAATGTGTACTTAACACTAATGATTAATTTTATCTTTTCCCATATTTTCCTTTTAATAGGGATGGTTAGCTGATATGAATGCTAATGTTTCAGGTTAGAAACCAGGAAAGCATGATCTCTAGTCTTGCCTTGGATATAAATTAAACTGGCTAGCCCTGGACCAGTCACATTCTCTTAATGCCAGGAAGGAGGCAATGGTAAATCATTTCTGAAAAACCTTGCCAGGAAAACTGCAGGAACGTGTCCAGGCATTCTCTGAGAATCAGACATAATCAAACAGAAGAAAAAAAAACCTAAGTAAGTAATAAAGACAGACAATGTTGGAGATTTTCCAAGATGCATACTATTATTCAGGAAGAATCTGCTGCACTTCCCAGGTTATTATTCCAGAAGAGAGCTCTTCCTTTTTCCCCATCAAGCACAGTCAAAGAAGAACTTTATATCTCCCAAATTGAGGCCCCCTTTAGCCTTTGAAACTTCTAGCTGTCTTAGAAGGGGCACTAGTATCATTAGATACTTTGAATGATATTGTTGTTATTAAGGGCTATGATATCACTGCTGACTTAAAGCAACTACAAGGATAAAATTTTTTAGGGAAAAGTCTTTTAGTTCTTCCTCTAAGGACATAAGGAAATCCATTAAAAGCAAACAAACAGTTGGCATTGCAACCCATCCAAAACCAAAGACAATTAACTCATTGAATTTAAGGCACCCTTTCAACTAAACTGATTCATCAAAGCAGAAACAATAAATAACAAGGAAACTTTTGCCAGAATAATTCCACTTAAATATTCCTCCAATTAGAAATCAAATCAACATAAAGAGACTTATTTAACAGAACCCTGTTTTTTTAATACGGAAATGATTTTCCAAAGTGAATTTTAAATAAGTGCATCCAGTTGCTAAGACAGTTGATCTGCTTAGAGATGCATTTTATTACTATAAAATGCATCTCTAAGTCACCATTTGGAGAAAATAAGGGTTGGGATCAGGTCTAGAGTTTCCAATTGGGATGATTTTGAGCTTGAAGAAAACCATTGGAAAGAAGGTCCTCTGTGGTCAATAAGACTGTGCTTCTAATAGCAAGTTCCAAAGAAGTCAATCACCTGGCATGGTCCAAAAAATGATACAGATATCTCACATTATTTTATTGAGGAATTAATTTCTGAAAATATTTCCTGCTTTACAATATAGGGAGTGAGTTTTTGATCTGATCTTCTCGTGCTTTCTCCTTCATGGGGTCAACCAGAACACAAAGCTGTTACCAAAGGTCACACTGGGCTACAGCATTAGAGATACATTAGAAGGTGATGCATTCCATCACTAATTTCAGATTATTAGATTGTCAAATTTGTGTACTAGACTAATAAGACAGCAATCCAACTGTCCTTAAAGGAACAGCTTCAGGAAGTATGATGTGTTTTTATGAACTGAAGATGAAAACCAACTGCAGTCTCTTATCTTGCAGTATACAGAGTATGAGCTTCTGTCATGTCCTGCCCTTCTTCTTTGCCATTCATGAGATCAACCAGAATCCAAAGCTGCTACCCAACATCACCCTGGGCTACAGCATCTATGAGAACTTTTTCAATGCAAGGATAACATATGAGGTCATGATGGACTTGCTGTCTACAGGGCAAGAGAATGTCCCAAACTTCAGTTGTGGAAGACAAAATAATCTTCTGGCTGTGCTTGAAGAGACTGATTCGGAGCTCTTTACTTCCATTTCAACTATGCTAGGCATCTACAAAATTCCACAAGTAGGAATGAATACTGAAACTAATTTAATTTTGTAAAGTCTACTGATAATCCAAAAGGGGTCAAATAATGAATAAAATGAGTCAGATGACAGAGCTTATAGGACTCCTGAAATATAATATTTTCATCAGGCATTCAAATACATTTCTTCATTCTTACATCATTGCATATCTTGATTTTTTTATAAGATATACAGGTTACACAGAGATTTTCCAACTGAACGAATCTTCACCCATAGCTCATCTGAAGTGCTCTCAACCATATTTTGCATGGAATTTGCATCCTCTTCCCCCCCCCCCTTCTGCCTCTTTTCCCTGTCTTCTGGTCACTGCAGTCTCATGTCTTGGCAGACAAAAACATCTTTTTACCCTTAATCCAACCAATTCCAAACAAAATCTCTAAGGATTGTAATGGAAATAACATAGGCAAATGTTACTTTAAGAGAGTTTTTCCCTACTTGCACAAAGACAATGAAAACATACCCAGTTGACATATTTTTTTTCTGCTGCCATCACGTGACATTCCATTTTCCCCAATCTATGATCAAATCAAATCAAATGATATATATTTTCAAAGCCTTTATAATACAAGAGTACAGCAAAAAGAGAAACACTGTAATACAGCAATTTGTTATTGGGGAAAGGAAAAAAGAAAAGGAAAATAAAACAGCATATCTAATGAAAAGTTCTGTGCAGTTGTATAACTTGGTGAATATAATTGACCAGCTGATATGTCAGTATAGAGTTAACATCAAAAAAAAATCCCTTAGAGATAAGAACTTATTTTTGTCCTTAAAAGCAAAGCAATCAACCATCTTTTGTGTTTCATCTTAGATCAACTATGGGGTCATCAGCCACATTCCAGAGCAGAAACATCATTTCCCTTTTTTCTACCAAGTGAGTCCAAAACAAGAACCTCCTCACTTGGCAATTATCAAGTTGCTCCTGCATTTCCGATGGACATGGATCGGCCTCGTTGCTCCGGACAATGAAAGTGGAGAACGGTTCAGAAGAACTTTTGTGCCAGAAGCTGTAAGGAAAGGTGTCTGTGTTGCCTTTTCAGAAATCTTACCCATGGTTATTAGAGAAGGGAGGGAAAAGGACATCCTTGAATATTTTAGCGACACTAAAGTGAAAAGTATTGTTTGTCAGTTGGACTCTCAGTCCTCATTAATACTAGCAGTGGTAATACGAGACATTGAAAAGAGAAAAATCCTGTTTGAGGAAAAAGTATGGATTGCTACAGCTTTGTCAGATTTAAATGTGAGATTATTTTACCAATTGGTTAATCTCCAGCATAACCATCTTTTATTATCCTTCTCAACTAAGGCAAAGAAAAGGACACAATATTATGATTTTAATTCACATTATTCTGCTACAGGAAAGTTTGGAAAGGCAGCATTTTTGTGTTCTTATTCAAGCCCTTTGTTGTCTAAGAAAGTTTGGAAGAGATGCCTGGAAAAAGAGACTTGGGAAATCCCATCCCCGGATCTTGTTGGAAGAATCCTGTCTGAGGATGGCTCCAGTATTTCCACAACAATCCAGGTTGTGGCCAGGATCCTCAGTGCTGCCTTTTCCTCCCAAATGAGTAAGAGGAGGATGCCTGCTGGGGACCACCAGACACTCCAGATGGTACAGCCATGGCAGGTAATGCTTCTTCAAAATGTTGCTGATGGTTCCCTTTCAATTCTTAAATGTTACATTAAAGATAAGTATCATCATATGGGGATGACCTAACAACAATTGCCTGTTTCTAATATTTGTTCTAACCAAACAAATAGATTGTGTTGCTGAATCTTCTAGATTAAACCTGGTGTGCTGATTCAGGATGCTTGTGACCTTAGGATATGATGTTTCAAGAGACTGGAAGTTTCTTTTCACAATTGTTGAATAAATAACAGTAGGATGTGACAGTTTTTACATTTTTTACACTTTTTAACATCCTACAAGCTAGACTCCATCAGTATGTTGACTGAGAACTACCAGAAGTACAGGCAAGATTTCGAAGAGGCAGAGGAACTAGAGATCAAATTGCCAACATACGCTGGATCATGGAGAAAGCTAGGGTGTTCCAGAAAAACATCTACGTCCGCTTCATTGACTATGCTAAAGACTTTGATTGTGTGGATCACAACAAATTGTGGCAAGTTCTTAAAGAGATGGGAGTACCAGACCATCTTATTTGTCTCCTGAGAAACCTATATGTGGGTCAAGAAGCAACAGTGAGAACTGGACACGGAACCACTGATTGGTTCAAAATTGGAAAGGAGTCTGGCAAGGCTGTATACTGTTTATTTAACTTATATGCAGAGCACATCATGAGAAAGGCAGGGCTAGATGAATCAAAAAATTAAAATTAAGATTGCCGGGAGAAATATCAACAACCTAAGATAGGCAGATGATACCATTCTAATGGCAGAATGTGAAGAGGAATTAAAGAGCCTCTTAATGCGGATGAAGAAGGAGAGTGCAAAAGTTGGCTTGAAACTCAACATTAAGAAAACCAAAATCATGGCATCCGGGCCTCTCAATTCCTGGCAAAGGATGGGGAAGAAATGGATGTAGTGACAGATTTTATTTTCCTGGGCTCCAAGGTCACCTCAGATGGGGACTGCAGCCAAGAAATTAAAAGACGCTTGCTCCTGGGGAGGAAAGCTATGGCAAATCTAGACAGCATACTAAAAAGCAGAGACATCGCCCTGCCAACAAAAGTGCATACAGTTAAGGCCATGGTTTTCCCAGTTGCAATGTATGGATGTGAAAATTGGACCATAAGAAAGGCTGAGCGACAAAGAATTGAGGCCTTTGAAATATGATGATGGAGAAGACTCCTGCGAATCCCTTGGACTGCAAGGCGTTCAAACTGGTCAGTCCTAGAAGAGATCAACCCCGACTGCTCTTTAGAAGGCCAGATCCTGAAGATGAAACTCAAATACTTTGGCCAACTAATGAGAAGGAAGGGCTCACTGGAGAAGGGCCTAATGCTGGGAAAGATTGAGGGCAACACAAGAAGGGGACAACAGAGAATGAGGTGGCTGGATGGAGTCACTGAAGCAGTAGGTGTGAACTTAAATGGACTCCAGAAGAAGGTAGAGGACAGGAAGACCTGGAGGAACATTGTCCATGGGGTGACGATGGGTCGGACATGACTTTGCAATTAACAAAAACAAGGATGTGACAATAACCATCATGCTCTATTGAGCTTCCACCATTGTTGCACAACATGTTTGGGATCTGAGCTTACAAATGTCATAAAGAAGAGCAGGCTAAAATAATAAATTAAAATGATCTGTATGTATGTGAGAAGGGGAGACAGACAGACATAGACAGACAGACAGAGTGGAAAGAGCCTGGAAGAAACAATGGGAGTGGGAAAGAGAGGGAGAGATGTAATTAAAGTGAAAAATATACTCTTCCTACCACATTTGCAGAGAGAAGCATTAGGATAAAGTACCTCTGTTTTGACTTAGTGCTCAAATGAGAATGTATACATTGCAAGGGTGATTCTCCATGTCTTTTCAGCTCCATCCATTTCTAAGAAACTTCCAGATTTACAATTTTTCTGTAAATGACGTTTATTTGAATGAGTATGGAATTCCCACTGCTGACTTTAATATCATGGACTGGGCAATATTTCCCAACAAATCTGCTGCTGGGGTGATAATTGGGAATGTTGAAAAAGAAGTCTTCAGACATCAAGATCTCTGTGGATGAGAGCGCCATCATATGGCCAACATCTTTTAACCAGGTAACCAAGTCTGCCTCTATGTGGGTTTTATTGTTCACCTGTTCCGATGTATCCATGTGATTTTTTGGTTTATCAGTCTTTTAACTCAGATGGAGAGTCACCACTGCTAAAAGGACAAGTTGAAGGAGACACTATTTCTCCTGGTCCTCTCAAAAGATCTATTCTTATGATAAGGGATATTTGGTTTGACGTTGTAGTGAAACAGCTTGTTTTCTTCTGCCAGGGAGCCCCAAAAGGCCAAAGGTCACCCCAGAGAGGCAACAATAAAGGAGGAAACCCTTGTTGATCATGGGCAGATGGCAATTATCCCATTTGATCTGAGGAAATCCCTCCAAACCCACAGAAGAAAGACGGACTGCATTCATGCACTCTGTCCAAGAGGTACTGACAGCTAGGAAGATACAATCATAATTCTGGAAATGGAAAAAGATCACACTTTTTAAAAGAACAGAACATACCTGAAGATAAGGAGGAAGTCCTAATAGAAATGATTACTAATTTGTTTGCTGAGGCAGTAGAAGTGAAAAAAATGAGATGGAAGGAGAATTGGATCAGGTATATAGAATTAACTCAAGCTACACAAGGAGACATAGACTCCCTAGGTTCACGTTAGATTTGTGAAAAAACAATGAGAGATGAAATATTGAAGAGAGTGAGAGATGAGATGATGATGTATAGAAAAAAAAAGAAATTGTGGTTCTGAACAGATCTCTAGGAGGATAAGAGATTCTCAAAAATACTACCAATTTTTGATTATAAAATTAAATGAAAAAGGAGTGAATTTCAGATGGTTGGTCCTGGAGGGAATATTAATAAATTGGGATGTGAAAACTTATAGATTGGACTCCATCTTTAAGGCAACAGAGTTCTATGAGACATACAGAAGTTTTCTTGAAGAGAAAACACAAGAACCACAAGGGGATAGGGAAGATGAAATACAGAGAAAGTTAGTAACAGAAGAGACACCCATACAAAGAGAAGAAGAAGAAGAAAAAAAAGAAAACACAGATCAAGAAAGAGAGTAGGTAATAAAAGAACAGAGACAGGAATTATCCACTAGGTGAATAAAACCTAAATATAAGTAAAGAAGATGGAGAAAGAAAGTGGAATTTTCTCAATGAATATAAATGAACTGAAATCCCATCATAAAGAAATATTTTTTGCACGATTACGGAAGCTAAAAATAGATATAATTTGTCACCAAGAAACACATATAAAAAACCAACACTATAAATTGCTGGAATATTCCAAAATTGGGAAACTTTATTTTACATCAGCATCTCAAAAGAAAAGAGGGGCCACTTTATATATAAAAGAGACATTGGAATCCAAACAGGTCTACTCAGATAAAGAAGGAGGAATCCTAATGGTAGAAATAATGATAAATCAAAACCAGATACTGATGGTAGCAATATATGCACCAAATAACAAACAAGAAGAATTATATCAAAAATTACAAAGGAAAATATTGGAAATGGAACATCAAAGCATTTGTTTGATAGGAGATTTTAATGCAATTGTAGATAGAAAGTTAGATTATAGAAACAGCAAAAGAGAGGAAAGGGGAAAAAAGACACTCCCTAAGGTGTTTTTTAGAATGACAGAAGAAATTTCCATACAGGATACTTAGACAGAAAGTAACCCAAAAAAGACCCAGTACATGTTTTATTTGATTAGACATAAATCTTGGCCTAGAATTAATTAAGTACTAATATATATGAGATTGAGGTAAAACCTAACATTTGGGTGGATCATAATCCAATAATGCTGACCCGGAAAGAGGTAAAGAAGAAATCAAGATAGACTTTAAATCAATCTTTGTTAAAAGAGAAACAATTTGTAGAATTAGCAATAAAGGAAATGGAGTTTTTCTTTAAAGAAACTATAAGGGAAACAATATCAATTCAGAATGTATGGGACATAGCCAAAGCGTACTGTATATTCTGGCAAATAAGACAACTCAGCGTATAAGACGACCCCCGACTTCGGCACCTATTTTAATGCTTGCGGAAGTCATCTTATACGCCAGAAAGTACAGTATTTTAGAGGATTAGCTATAACATATATGGCTAAAAAGAACAAAAAAAAAACATAACAGAGAAGAATTCAAGAAACTGGAGTTAGAATTACAAATACATCCACAAAAGAAAATTGTGAAAAGACAAATGGAGACAATGAAACATAAATTAAATTTAATAGAGTCAGAAGCATTGGCTCTACAAATAAAAAGGATAAAACAAAACTTTTTTGAAAATAAAAACAAGCTGGGAAAATGGTTGGCATATAAACTGAAAAAAGAAAGAGAGAAGAAACTGATAATAAACTACAAGATGAGAAGGGTGACATACAATTTCAAACTGATGCAATTAAAAAAACAAAGAATTTTATGAAAAATTATATGATGTAGAAGGAATTTCTCAAGAAAAAAATGATACAATACTTGGAAAATGCAAACCTACCAAAAATATCAGAAAACCTAAAAAATATATTAAATGAAAAAATTACACTGATGGAAATCATAGAAGCTATAAAAAGGCAGAAAAACGATAAAATACCAGGACTGGATGTGCTACCCGGAGAGGTTTGCAAATATATCCAAGATACATTAAGCCTACCAATGAAGAAAGTGTGTAATGAGGTATTATTAGAGGATGGAAGCAAGTATTACTTTAATATGAAGAGAAGGTTCAGATTTGACACAGATGAAAAATTACAGACCAATATTATTATTAAATGTGGATTATACATTTTTTGCCTCAGTAATAGCAGAGAGATTGAAAAGATTCTTGATTGAAATTGCTACTGTTAGATTAGCAAAAATGTTTAAAAATATGTCTAGCAAACGTTGGAAATGTAATCAAAATCCCAGTACATATTATCACTTGTGGTGGACATGTGTAAAAGCAGACCGGGAGGCTTTACTCAAAGTCACTTATGCCCTTGTCATCTCAAGACTGGATTACTGTAACGCGCTCTACATGGGGCTACCCTTGAAGAGCGTTCGGAGGGTGCAGTTTGTTCAGAATGCAGCCACGAGAGCGATTGTGGGCACTCCAAGGTATGCCCACGTGTCACCTATCCTCCGCGAGCTGCACTGGCTTCCTGTGGGTCTCTGGACCCAATTCAAGGTGTTGGTTATCACCTTTAAAGCCCTTCATGGCATAGGGCCAGGTTACTTACAGGACCGCATACTGCCGCACAGTTCTCAGAGACCGGTGAGGTCCCACAGATTGGGCCTCCTTCAGGTCACGTTGGCCAGACAATGTCAGCTGGCAGGCCCTCAGGGAAGGGCCTTTTCTGTGGTAGCTCCGACCTGGTGGAATCAACTTCCCCCCGAGGTTCGAACTACTCCCACCCTACTGGCCTTTAAGAAAGCCATTAAAACTCTCCTGTTCCGGCAGGCCTGGGGCTGATGTCCAAGGGGGGGGGGGCGGGATATGATCGGACACACTGTATGAATGTATTTATTTTATTGTTTTATTGTCATATTATTGTTTTAATTTTGTGCACCGCCTTGAGTCCCTTGGGATTGGGTGGCATATAAATTTTAGAAATAAATAAATAAATAAATAAATAAAAAACTTTTGAACTAAAATACATACTTGATGAAAAAAGATGTTAGGAAAACATGTAGATTTTAAACCTGATTTTTTTTTTTTAACTAGGCATAATGCTAGAAAAGTTTGATAAACAAAATGTATATTTAACATTACATGTATTTGCACTGCACTGGAAAAATGAGATAGCACAATTAAAAGAAGCAATAATGAAGAACATTTTGGACTGTGCAGAAATGGATAGACTCACATTGAGAATCAAAGGAAAAGAAGATACAGAATACTTTCAAATATAGAACTTATTTTATCAATGATTTGAAAAGCAGGGCAGAGAGTAAGAATTTAACCAATATGACTAGGCAAAAATCAACCCAGACAACACATTGTTCATTAAGCACAAATGAATTGTAATGATAGAAAACTAATAAAATACTTAAAAAAAATCTATTTCTTACGATGGGAAAGAATGGTGTAGAATGGAAAACATGTTGTTGGCTAGGCCAATGCTGCTTGTAGCACGTAAGGAAACTTAGGAGCATCATAAACCAGGGAACTGGCCTTTGACACTGAGGGACTTACGGTAGGGCGTTTTATTCAGGGGAATCTTTGGTGTTCTCTGAGCTTGGTTGTTTGTTTGCAGGTAATTTCATTGGTTAATTTCCCAACTAAGTAACATCATCAGTGCCTGATGATAGCAGTGATAATGTTATTTACTCAAATAATGAAATAACTGCAAACAGGCAGTTAAAACCAGAGAGCATCAAGGAGTTTACAATTCAACACTGAGTTACACAGATTTTCTTCTATTGAATCATTCAATGTTTTTTTAGAACTGGAGTCTCCTTTGAGACTGAGTTGATAGTAAATTGAGATCTAAGAAATACATATTGTAAGAAGGCAGAGGAAATGTTGTGACAGATGATGTTCTAGCAATTGCTAAGATAAGATGAAGTAACTCTTTCTTTTCCAACCTTTGGACTAGACTTTCCACAGTTTTGTAACATTGATCAGTTGGCTGAATCTGATAGGATCTGAAGCCCAAATGCAGAAAAATCCCGGGATAATGATGATTGGACTGGAGAGTCAGCAGCTTTTTCTGAACATTAAGGGGACTCTGAGATTATAGCCTGCTGAAATGAAACTGCTAGTGGAGAAATTTCACTAAACAAAAATATTTTCATTGTATTTGGAAAAATATCTTGAAAGTACCTTCTTGAATTCATGAACGCACTTTGGTGCTCGCTTCCATTTTTAGAAGTAATCCCCTCATTCATATATTTCTCTGATTTTTCTTTCTGTTCAGAAGGCCCCCTTTTCTAGGTGTATGGAAAGTTGCCTCCCAGGATATACCAAGCTGACAAGAGAGGGAGAACCATTTTGCTGCTATGACTGTTCTCCATGTATTGAAGGAACTATCTCTGTGCAGGAAGGTAGGTAATTCAAGAACAAAGAAGCAGCACTAGTCTTTTATTCTAAGGATAATATAGTAGCAATAGGAACTGCACTTAGACTTATATATTACTTCATAGTGCTTCACAGCATGCTCTAAGCAGTTTACAGAATCAACATATTGCCCCTCAAAAATCTGGGTCCTCGTTTTACTGATCTCGAAAGGATGGAAGACTAATTCAACCTTGAGCTGGTCAATATCAAACTCCAGGCTGTGGGCAGAGTTAGACTGCAATACTGCATTCTAATCACTGTGCCACCACAGCTCTGGTATTAGCAAGATTTGTTCTCATATGCCAATATGCTACATCTAGACTCAGGAAACAGACTAAAAACACTGCAAGAACTGTTCAGTGAAGGTAAAATTCACCATTGTGAATGTTTTCACAAGTTGCTGAAACAATAACAAGCAATTTTTCAAAAAGATTGAGAGACCTTAAGAAACACGATAGCATTTGAAACACATATAGAAAACAAGATTTATGATTAAGAACCATATATAAATTGTTTTTGAAATACAACATGGAGATGGAAAAAAATAAACATTTTTATGATAAAATGGATGCAAAATGTCAAACAATTAAGCACAATACAAAAATGAGAAGAGCTTTTAAAAAGAAAAATATAGAAAATTCACGCCAAGTTATAATTTAAGGGGAAATTGCTGCAAATGTTTTTCAAATGTTCTATAGCTACATCAACAATTGCAAAATAAACAAATAATAGAACATTTAATGTTGGAAAAGCCATGAGAAAAAGGAACACTTTATCATCTGTAGTGGTTATGCAAAAAAACCTCAAAAGCATTGGAATGAAATACATCAAATTATTCAAGAAAATCCTATACAAAATGAACTGAAATCACAAATATTCTTTATAGGTATAGTTTCAAAAAGCAAAATAATAATAATAAAAAAAATGCTAACCCTAACCCTATTTTTTCTGGCAGTCGCAAGAAGAAAGTTAGGAGAGAATTGGAAAAATAGATATTTTGGCAGTGATGTCAGATTGGTAGGTCAATTTGGAGAATATGCAGCAATGACACTTGACAATACCTACAGCAGTGATTCTTGGCAACATTAAGTCATGTGGACATGAACTCCCAGAATTCCTCAGGAGCCATGGAATTCAGGGAATTGGGGAATTCTGGCTGAGGAATTCTGGGAATTGAAGTACACGTCTTAATGTTGTGAAGGTTGAAAACGCTGAACTACAGAATCTGTGATGAAGTGTAAGCAACTTTTAAAAAGAATAGCTCCCGTATGTGGAACACATTGAACAGCAGGTTATATTTAAAGCTTTAGAACATGATGTTTAACCAGAAATTGTGAGATGAATCAAACCTAATATCAGATGCCAGCAAGAATCTTTACACTTTAAAGTAAAACACACACACTCAGAGAAACAAATAGATTATGTGTGGAAGTGGTGTGTTTGTGTTTGTGTGTTTGGGGATATAATGAAATAACGAAAGGAAAGAGAGAAATGGTTTCCATAAACATAATTAACTACTTTATTCATTCTTAGTAATTAAGCATTTTTCCTTGCATTTCATTATTCTAATAATATAATTTCTTTAAAAATAGAGAGAGAAAGAGAAAATCTTCATTGCTCTATCCACATCCTGCTTCTGGTTGTTTGGTCATGATGTACTGAATGTCATTGAATCACTATTTAAAAAGCAGTTGTGTTTTCCAGATGTAGCCCAATGTGCAAAATGTCCAGATGACCATTTCTCCAACGAGAAGCGGGATCAGTGTGTTGCCAAAGTTATAACTTTCCTGTCATACAGAGAAAACTTAGGTCTCATCCTGGGTGTCTCTACCCTTTTTTTGTCTCTTACCACTGCCTTAGTTCTAGGAATTTTTATTAAATATCGAGAAACTCCCATAGTCAAAGCTAACAACCGTGATCTCACCTATATTCTCCTGATCTTTCTCTTGCTTTCCTTCTTGACTTCCCTTCTATTCATTGGTCAACCCAAGAAAGTGACATGCCTTCTTCGACAAACTGCCTTCAGTATTGTTTTCTCAGTTGCTGTGTCATCCTTGCTGGCTAAGACTATCATGGTGGTGATGGCATTTCTGGCCACAAAGCCAGGAAGCAAAATGAGGAAATGGCTGGGGAAATCTTTGGCCAATTTCATCATCTTCTCCTGCTCTGGTGTTCAGGTGGGCATCTGTTTCATATGGCTGGGAATCTTTCCCCCATTCCCAGATTCTGACTTATATTCCCAAAAAGGGCAGATCCTACTGCAATGCAATGAAGGTTCAGTCATCATGTTCTATTCTGCCCTTGGCTACTTGGGCTTTCTGGCTTCCATCTGTTTCTTGGTGGCTTTTCTAGCCCGGAAACTACCAGGTGGCTTCAACGAAGCCAAGTGGATCACCTTCAGCATGCTGCTCTTCTGCAGTGTTTGGGTTTCTTTTGTCCCCACCTACCTGAGCACCAAAGGAAAATACATGGTGGCTGTGCAGATCTTCTCCATCCTGACCTCCAGCCTCGGCTTACTTGGCTGCATCTTTGTCCCCAAATGTTATATCATCATTCTGAGACCTGACATGAACGCGAAGGAGCATCTAATGTTGAAAAACAATGAGTGATCTTGATTTTGGCAGTTATATTTTATCCAAATTATTGCTAAGTTAAAATAAGACATTGCAAACAGTTATTTGTTCAAAGATTTTTTCCCTCCCATGTGATTAATCTTACTATCAATAAATAGCAGAGTGAAGGTTACTGATGTTTCCTCCAGCAATTGAAAACCATGTTATTTGCCTTCTAATCTACATTTCTTCAATATCCGTTCAATATACGAGATGAATAAATAAGAAGGGAGAGTACAGTGTTGTCTCATTTCTTTACTGATCTGAAATCATACTGTTTAACTCTGGTTTTTTCAGAGTATGGCTTCGAGTCCTTGTGTAAATTTTTTAAAAGGACAAAGAGATATTGTCAGATTGTCATTTCTCAAAAACATTCCATAGCTCAACATAATTCCTTTTAATTCTTCATTTATTTTAAAAGATTTGTTATGGTCACCTATGTTAAGATATATTTTATGTTTTATAATATACAAAAGCCATAATCTTAACAAGTATTTTTGTTTTCTGTTTATCCAATCAGGAAGTGACATCTACTTTGGGTACTTAACTTATCCTTCCAATTTCCCTCCACCCTCTGTCTCTTGTTTCACCAAATTTTAAGGTAAACCAGCCAAATGCATTTCCCTCAGGGTTCTAGTCCCTAACAGCCTCATGAGGATAATGAGTCTCCTGCAGGGTTCTAGTCCCTAACATCTATATAATAGGCTGGCCCAGTGGGACTGCTTTCTCCAAAATCAGCAAGCAGGTCACTTCATCAGCCCTCATGACAACTGAACTGACCTTCAAAAATAAAAACTGAATTGCTTTTTTCCCCTTTTACTGACTACAAAGGTTGGCTCACAGAAGCAGAATAACAAAAATGCCAGGCAAATAAAATGCAGGTTGACACTTTTCTTCCTGCTGCTTTCACGTGATGTTCCATTTTCCCGAATCTATGATAAAACCAAATGAAATAAAATATTTTTTACAGTCATTCACCAGCATTTACCATAAAAGAATAGAACAAAAAGAGACACAGTGTAATACTACAATTTGTTATTGGGGAAAGGAAAAAAAAGAATAGGGCAACAAACAATAGATCTAATAAAAAGTTCTGTGCAGTTGTATAACTTGGTGAATATAATTGACCAGCTGATATGTCAGTATAGGGTTAACATCAGAAAAAAAAATCCCTTCAAAGTAAGCACTTATTTTTGTCCTCAAAAGCAAAGCAATCTGCCATCTTTTCTATTTCATCTTAGATCAACTAAGGGGTAAGGAATGGACCCACTTCATTCACTCTCAATATGCACAGATTTTATTCCTTGTTCTACTCTTGGTCCAAATTTTAAGCTAGACCAGCATAATGAGTCTTCCTCAGGGTTCTAATCCCTAACAGCAGAATCAGGATATGAGTCTCCCTCAAGGTTCTAGTCCCTAAGAGCAGAATGAAGATATGTGTCTCCCTCAGGGTTCTAGTCCCTAACACCTACATACTAGGCTGGCCCAGTGGGACTGCTTTCTCCAAAATCAGCAACTAGGTCAGTTCGTCAACCCCCCATGACATATGAACTGACCTTCAAAAATCAAAACTGAATTGCTTTTTCTCCTTTTACTCACTACAAAGGGTGACTCAAAGCAGCAGAATAACCAAAGTACCAAGTAAATACAATCCAGGCTCCACAAGTTTCTGAAACCAATATAGAGATGTTTTATCAAGGAGCTTTCCTCAGTATAATTTTTAGATGAGATGCAAATCTCTTGTCAGAGATGATGAAAAAATGATGGAAAATAAAACCTCAGATCCAGGAAACTACAGACCAATCAGTCTGGTATCAATACCTGGGAAGATCATGGAAAAGATAATAAAAAATCAGATCTGTGAACATCTCAAAACAAATAAAGCTATAACTAGGATCCAGCATGGGTGTGTTAAAAACAGGTCATGCCAAACCAATCTTATTTTATTTTTTGACAAAGTGACTAAATTAGTATACCAGCAAAATGCTGTGGACATAGTATACTATTTCTTTGTAAGCTAGATAAATATGGGGTAGATATCATCACCACCAGGTGGATTTGTAACTGGCCGATAAACCACTCAATGAATAATTCTTAATGGTACTACAACTACATGGAGGGACATAAGCAGTGGAGTACTACAACGCTCTGTCTTAGGCCTAGTACTCTTCAATATTTTCATAAATGACTTAGATGAGTGAATAGAAAGAGAACTCATCAAATTTGCAGATGACACTAAGCTGGCAGGGATAGCCAACATCCCAGAAGACATGTTCAGACTTGAATAATGGATCCTATTAAACAACATAAAATTTAATGTGGAGAAAAGCAAGGTTTTACACTTAGGCAAGAAAAACCAAAGGTACAAGTACAAACTAGGCAAAACCTGACTCAATAACAGTAGCTGTGAGAGGGACCTTGGACAATCACTGAAACATGAGCCAGCAATAGGGTAATACAATCCTTGGTGGTATAAGGAGAGGCATAGAATCAAAATCATGTAAAGTATTAGTACTACTTTATACAGCCTTAGTAAGGCTATACCTAGAAAACTGCATCCAGTTTTGGTAACCTCATTAAAAAAAAAGATATTGAGACTTTGGAAAAAATGCAAAGAAGAGCAAGTAAGATGATTAAAGGACTGGAGACTAAAACAAATGAAGAATGGTTGACGGATTTGGGTTTGGCCAGCCTAGAGAAAAGGACTAGGGGTGACATGATAGCAGTATTCCAGTATTTGAGGGGCTGCCAAAAAGAAGAGGGGGTCAACTTATTTTCCAAAGTACCAGAGGACAAGACAAGAAACAACGGATGGAAAGTAATCAAAGAGAAAAGCAACCTGGCATTAAGGAGAAACTTTCTAACAGTGAGAACAATTAACCAGTGGAACAGCTTCCCTTCAGAGGTTGTGGGTGCTTCATCACTGGAGGTCTTTAAGAAGAGACTGGACAGCCACTTGTCTGAAATTGTATAGGGTCTCCTGCTTGAGCAGGGGATTAGACCAAGGTCCATTCCAGCTCTATTCTGATTGATTGACGATGAGGGCTCTATGTGAGTTGTTTTGTTTCACGTTCTTTTCTGCAGACAATCTAGATTCTTCTGATTATTAATGTGAAAATACTGAGTGCCAATATGAAGGCACTACTCAAGTACATGGTGTTTTGAATTAAGCATTCTCTCCTTTTGCATTAGGAGAGAAAGGAGACGAGCTCATTTCCATCAGGAAATGATTGATACTCTTTTGTATCAATAACTTTTTTTTTGCCGGCTAAAAATCTATTCCATTTATTAAGACATAATTTCAAAACTTCTTTCCCAAAAATATCTCAGTTGCAATAGTAACTTTGTAATTTAATTACAAAGTTTAGAATATGAGAAGCAACATTATTCTCAGTTTCCTTGAGTGAGTTGTGTGGGACTTCACATAGGGAGAAATGTGAGGAAGAATTTTCCTGGCGCTCTGTATTTGCAAATCACAAGAGAATTGACTCAGTAGAGAAATCTGATAATTTTGGGGGGAGGGGAACATTCATTCCCCACCCTCTCAATTGCCCTAAAGGTACAGATAATCCTCAACTAAAATTTCTGTTGCCAAATGAGATAGTTGTTAAATGAATTTTGCCCCATTTTACGACCTTTCTTGCCACAATTCAATTAAGTGAATCACTGCAGTTCTTAAATTAGTAACTCATTGACTTTGCTTGCCAGAAGGTTGCAAAAGGTGATTATATCATTCTGGGACAGTGCAACCATCATAAATATATACCAGTTGCCAAGCGTTCAAATTTAGATCACATGCCCATGGGGATACTGCGACAATTGTAAGTGTGAAAAACAGCCATAAGTCACTTTTTTCAATGATGTTGTAACTTTGAACGGTCACTAAATGACCTGTTGTAAGTTGAGGACTACCTGTATATTGTGATTCAATATTGAAAGCTGCTGAGAGATCCAGCAGAATACCCCACCAGAGGTTCAGTGTCCAGCAGAATTAATTCACAGGCACAATCAGTGCTTTCTCTGTGCTGTGACTCAATGAGAAACCCAAATATAACAGGACCAGATATTCTGCTTCCCCAGAGTAAGTTTCTTGAATAATGGGAACAAGTTTCCTGAGTTGTTATTTTGACTATTAAATTGAAACTATGTCCATACATTATGCAAAAGTTTTCCTCTCTTGCACAGTAGTAAGTGAACTAATACAGAGAATCAACTGTGATTCCCAAATCCCTTCATAATTATCAAAATCACAATGATTACTTCATCTTCCACTAAAGGCTAGGGGACTTCTCTCACCCACAGTTGTTTTGAAACCAGGTAGAAGTTAGTAACCCTCATCCACAGATTTCTCAAATATTTTGTAATTCTTATAAAAGATTGAAGTTCCACAAGTGCCTCAAGGATGATGAAGAAGACATGGTGAAACTCCTGTAGGCATACTGTACAGGTCTGAATTTTAATGCTGCCCTTTTAATGTGCCAGATTAAATTTTATCTTGCTTGACCAAGTCAGTGGATCTGTGTTGTTTGTCAAGAGAACTGGGCTTCTTCTTAGACAGCTCTGAAGCCAAATATAGTGGGTGGCTGTCTCAGAGAATGACAGACGTTCTCCATTATGATATCTGAAATACTGCTGATGCTTCTTCTTCTGGTGTCTCATTTTCCATGTGGCACGCTGATATCCAAATGTCCATTGAACGTACAAAAAGAGGGAGGTAACATATTTAATTACTACAAGCCAGGAGATTTCCTGATAAGCGGAATCATTTCTACATCTAGCAGTTTCATAAATCCATACCGCTTCTTCAAGCCTCCAAACAACCATTTTCAAAGGTAATTCCTGATGTGAACTTCATGCTAGTGATTAATGTTTTCTCTCTCTCTCTCTCCCTCTCTCTCTCTCTCTCTCTCTCTCTCACACACACACACAGACATCTTTTCTGGGCAAGTGGCCATAGTCCTCATCTGTTAACTTTCAGCTTCTTCAGAATGAGTGCTATTTTCCATCTTACCTTTTGTTTTAATTAATAAGATAAAAAAAATAAAGAAGCCAAGGACCACAGCAGGATCCATGGCAGGTGACCTTGGATGTAGGATATCTAAAGAGTGTGAAAACACCATCCATCCATCCTATTTAAAAAGGCATTCAATTTAGTAGAGGTGACTTCAGCTGCTCCAAAGAAAAATCCATTTCTAGTAAGTGGTTGTTGTTATTATGTCTTGACATAAAAAGTTTTGTTGATTTGATTAGGTGAATTCAGCACAGTACTGGCTACCTTTGGAGCCTTATTTTAGATATTCAATTCAGTCACTGAATCAGGATAAATTAACAATAAAATTAAAAATTACAGTCTTCCCGTATGGAAGTATCAATCCATACAGACTGTGAGGGAAGTCACTAAAAATTAAAATTAATAATATAGAACTACAGAACTATTGCAAGATAAAATGCTTACTATTTCACCTAGCTGATATGAACATTAAAACTTTATATGCTTTAATAATAGTGACATCTACAACATTAACTGTCTACTACGAAAAAGTATGGAAATATTATAGAAGATTCTACACAGTGTACTGTCTGAAAAGACAATAATAACAATAAAAGTAAAATTTTATTTTATGACAAAGGAATGTTAAGTTTAATATCAAGGATTCAATAGCTAGCAATGCATCTGTGCAAGGGCAGGCTCTATCATGGCTGGTGAATTTTTATTCTTAATTTTGCAAGCTGATATGCAAAATTCAGAAACATGATAGGGTATTGTTGGAAAACATTCTGAAAGAAACAAAAAGATGTAAAAGTTATCAAAAGGAGTAGGCAGTCTAGTCAGCCTTGGAGAGATGAGAGTTATTCTATCTCCTTATTATATGAATAACGAGTATTGATTAAGGCTTCAGGCTAGAAACTGGAAGAACATGAACTCTTGTTCCACTGGTTGGCCTTGGGCCAGTCACTTTCTCTCAGCCTTAGGAAGGAGGCAATGGCAAACCACTCTGGAAAAACTTTGCCAAGAAAACTGCAGGAACTCATCCAGGCAGTCTCCAAGAATTGCACACAATTGAACAGAAGAAAAAAAAGGAATAATAAAGAAGAATAAATTTGGAGATTTTCCAAGATGCAGTGTTATTCCAGAATAATCTGCCCCAACCCTCAGATTATTCTTAGAAGAGAGCTCTACTAGAACATTGGTCTTCCCTTTTTTTCATCAAGCACATCAAAGTCACTAGATCCCTTGGAGGATATTGGTAATATTAAGGACCATCATGTCAATACTGTTTTAGAACAACCATGCAGATAGAATTTATCGAGGATGATCTATCCTCAATTTTAGAATTAGAATAGAATATAACAGGAAGGGGCCTTGGAGGTTTTCTAGTCCAACCCCTTGCTCAAGCAGGCGATCCTATACCATTTCAGACAAGTGGCTGTCTCGTCACTTCTTAAAAATCACCAATGATGAAGCACCAACAACTTTTGAAGGCAAGCTGTTCCACTGGTTAATTGTTCTCACTGTTAGAAAGTTTCTCCTTAATGCCAGGTTGCTTCTCTCCTTGATTAGTTTCCATCCATTGTGTCTTGTCTTGCCTTCTGGTGCTTTGGAAAATAAGTTGACCTCCTCTTCTTTGTGGCAGCCCCTCAAATACTTGAATACTGCTATCATGTCACTCCTAGTTCTTCTTTTCGCTACACTAGCCATACCCAATTTCTGCAACTGTTCTTCATGTTTTAATCTCCAGGCCTTAAATCATCTTAGTTGCTCTTCTCTATACTTTTCCAAAGTTTCAAGAACTTTTTTCTAATGTGGTGACCAAAACTGGATGCAGTGTTCCAGATATGGTCATATTAAGATTTTATAAGGCAATACTAATACTTCACATGATTTTGATGTCAAGCCTGTGTTTATATAACCAAGAATTATATTAGCTTTTTTGGCTACTGCAGCACACTGCTGGCTCATATTTAAGTGATTGTTCACTAAGATTCCAAGTTCCATTCTCACAGTTATTGGTATTGAACCAAGTTTCACCTAGTCTATAGCTACACAGTTGGAATTTTTTTTTTTTTTGCCTAAGTGTAAAACCTTACTTTTATCTGTGTTGATTTTCATTTTGTTGGATAGGGCTCAGTGTTCAGGTTTGTCAAGATCTATCCTCAATCTGGCCTTTTAGTTCTCCCTGTAAGGAGATAAGGAAGCCTATTTTTAAAAAAAGATCTTGGAGGAGTTCATTTCCTAAATTTGCATTGGTTCAGGATACTGAACAAAGTCAGCAATCATTTAATTTGGTAATCCCTTAGGTCCGTTAAAATAACCCAGACTAGATGGGAGTGAAAGAAGAGCACATGAATTATATTCGAATATGAAACAATAGCTCAAGATTTATTAATTGATTTTGGTTCATTGTGTGCATAAAGTCAGTGGAGTCTTTTATTGATTACATACCTAATTTGTCATGATGTTCTGTCCCTAACCTGCTCTTTCATTGCCACTGTAACTGAATCCAGCCCGATTGTTTTTAGTCATCTTCTCTTTCTTTCCAACATTCCCAGCATTATAACTTTCTCCAGAGAGTTAACTCTTTATATAATGTTTCCAAACTGAGATAATTTGAGCCTGGTCATTTGTTGAGCGAGCACTCTGGTTGAATCAATTGATGTTCCATTTCCTTGTTTTTTTGGCTGCCCACAGTATACTCAGGAGTCTTCTCCAATCCTAAAATTAAAAAGTGGCAATTCTCTTTCTCTCCTGCTTCTTCAAAGTCCAACATTTACTTCCATAGAGTATTACAGGGAATACATGAGTTGAACAATTCTGACCTTTGTAGATATGGACATACAACTTCCTGATAGTTAGAACAATTAACCAGAGGAACAGCCTGCCTCCAGAAGAGGGGAATGCTCCAACACTGGAAGTTTTTAAGAAGAGACTGGACAGCCATTTTTCAGAAATGGTGTAGGATTTCCTGCCTGAGCAGGGGGTTGGACTAGATGACCTCCAAGGCCCTTTCCAACTTTATTATTATTATGGCATCTGAATATATTTTCCAGGGCCTTCATGGCTGCTTTACTAAGTGCTAGTTTGTGATGTATTTCTTGACTGCTTGTGAAAAGGTCTTGGCAATGGAAGGCCCAAACACCCAAAGAAACTCAATCTTGCTTGAGTTGAGCTGAAGCCTGCTGCACTCTATCCAGGACCCTCAGCCTCCAGCCCCTTGGACAAAAAGACCACATTTTTTAAAGAGATTTTTCTCTTTCTTAGCTAAAGAACATGACTAATAATGCAAAAAGTTCTTCTATTTTTATTTATGGTACCTACCTACCTACCTACCTACCTACCGATCTATCTATCTATCTATCTATCTATCTATCTATCTATCTATCTATCTATCTATCTATCTATCTATCCCTATCACATTTACAAACTGCCTATCTTCCTCACAGTTACTGTGATTATTGTCAAATAAGATATAAAACATAAAAATATAGATAATATAGATATTATAATATAAGGCAGATTAAAACAAGAATAAAATGTCTAAAATTCAGAATTAAAAAGACAGGGCAGGTCCTTCAAGCCACTAACTAGCCCTATGGCTGTGTGCATCTCTGTGGGTCCCAAGTGAGTCAGCAGAACCAGACATTTCTGAACAGTCAAGAGAATGGGTACCAACCTCATCTCCGGTGGACGAATGTTCCAAGGGGCAGGGACAATGGCAGAGAAAGCTCTCTTCCTGGACCTCATGAACTGGAGTTCTTTAGCTGATGAGATCTGCAAATACTTTTCCTAGCAGACCAGGTGAGATGGGCCAAAGTAATGGGATGAAGATGGTTCCATAGGTAGCCTATCCCAATGCCAGGTACTTCAAAGGTCATAACCAACACCTTCAATAGGACCTAGAAGCAAACTGGCATCCAATGCAGCTTGTGCAACAGAGGTGTTATATGTGCAGTCCTTTAGGTGTCCATAATTGCTGGCACAGCCACATCCTGTGCCATCTGAACTTCTAGATACTTTTCAAGAGTAGCCCCAGGTAGAGCACAGATTGTTAGATTGTCAAATTTGTGCACTAGACTTATAAGACAGCAATCCAACTGATTAGTTATAAATGTCCTTAAAGGAACAGTTTCAGGAAATATGATGTGATTTTATGAATAGAAGATGAAAACTAACTGCAGTCTCTTATCTTGCAGCATACAGAGTATGAGCTTCTGTCATGTCCTGCCCTTCTTCTTTGCCACTCATGAGATCAACCAGAATCCAAAGCTGCTACCCAACATCACCCTGGGCTACAGCATCTATGAGAACTTTTTCAACGCAAGGATAACATATGAGGTCATGATGGACTTGCTGTCTACAGGGCAAGAGAATGTCCCAAACTACAGTTGTGGAAGACAAAATAATCTTCTGGCTGTGCTTGAAGGGACTGATTCGGAGTTCTTTACTTCCATTTCAACTATGCTGGGCATCTACAAAATTCCACAAGTAGGAATGAATACTGAAGCTAATTTCATTTTGTAAAGTCTATTGATAATCCAAAAGGGGTCAGATAATAAATAAAATAGTCAGATTGCAGAGCTTAAAGAACACCTGAACTATTCATCAGGCATTCAAATACCTTTCCTCATTCTTACATCATTGCATATCTTGATTTTTTTTAAAGATACATGGATTACACAGAGATTTTTCAACTGAATGAACCTTCACCCATAGCTCATCTGAACTGCTCTCAACCATATTTTGCATGGAATTTGCATCCTCTTTCCCCCCCTTCTGCCTCTTTTCCCTGTCTTCTGGTCACTGCAGTCTCATGTCTTCGCAGACAAAAACATCTTTTTACCCTTATTCCAACCAATTCCAAACAACATCTCTAAGGATTGTAATGAAAATAACATAGGCAAATGTTACTTTAAGAGAGTTTTTCCCTACTTGCACGTAAAGACAATGAAAACATACCCAGCTGACATATTTTTTTCTACTGCATTCACATGATGTTCCATTTTCCCCAATCTATGATCAAAGCAAATCAAATGATATTATTTTTAAAGCGTTTACAATACAAGAGTACAGCAAAAACAGAAAAACTGTAATACAGCTATTTGTTATATGGGAAAGGAAAAAAATAGGATAATAAAACAGCACATCTAAATTGAAAATTCTGTGCAGTTGTATAACTTGGTGAATATAATTGACCAGCTGATATGTCAGTATAGAGTTAACATCAGAAAAAAAGTCCCTTAGAGATAAGAACTTATTTTTGTCCTTAAAAGCAAAGCAATCAACCATCTTTTCTGTTTCATCTTAGATCAACTATGGGGTCATCAGCCACATTCCAGAGCAGAAACATCATTTTCCTTTTTTCTACCCGGTGAGTCCAAAACAAGAACCTCCTCACTTGGCAATTGTCAAGTTGCTCCTGCATTTCCGATGGACGTGGATCGGCCTCGCTGCTCCGGACAATGAAAGCGGAGAAAAGTTCAGAAGGACCTTTGTGCCAGAAGCCGTAAGGAAAGGTGTCTGTGTTGCCTTCTCAGAAAGCTTACCCTTGGGTCCTAGAGCAGGGAGGGAAAAGGACATCCTTGAATATTTTAGCGACACTAAAGTGAAAAGTATTGTTTGTTACTTGAACTTTCAGGTCACATTAATACTAGCAGTGCTAATACGAGACATTGAAAAGAAAAAAATCCTGTTTGAGGAAAAAGTATGGATTGCTACAGCTTTGTCAGATTTAAATGTGAGATTATTTTACCGATTGGTTAATCTCCAGCATAACCATCTTTTATTATCCTTCTCAACTAAGTCAAAGAAAAGGACACAATATTATGATTTTGATTCACATTATTCTGCTACAGGAAAGTTTGGGGAGGCAGCATTTCTGTGTTCTTATTCAAGCCCTTTGTTGTCTAAGAAAGTTTGGAACAGATGCCTGGAAAAAGAGACTTGGGAAATCCCATCCCCGGATCTGGTTGGAAGAATCCTGTCTGAGGATGGCTCCAGTATTTCCACAACAATCCAGGTTGTGGCCTGGGTCCTCAGTGCTGCCTTTTCCTCCCAAATGAGTAAGAGGAGAATGCCTGTTGGGGACCACCAGACACTCCAGATGGTACTGCCATGGCAGGTAATGCTTCTTCAAAATGTTGCTGATGGTTCCCTTTCCATTCTTAAATGTTACATTAAAGATAAGTATCATCATATGGGGATGACCTAACAACAATTGCCTGTTTCTAATATTTGTTCTAACCAAACAAATAGTTTGTGTTGCTGAATCTTCTAGATTAAACCTGGTGTGCTGATTCAGGATGCTTGTGACATTAGGATAAATGTTTCAAGAGACTGGAAGTTTCTTTTCACAATTGTTGAATAAATAACAGTAGGATGTGACATTTTTTACATTTTTTAAAATCCTACAAGCTAGACTCCAGCAGTATGTTGACCGAGAACTACCAGAAGTACAGGCAGGATTTCGAAGAGGCAGAGGAACTAGAGATCAAATTGCCAACATATGCTGGAGCATGTAGAAAGCTAGGGTGTTCCAGAAAAACATCTACGTCTGCTTCATTGACTATCCTAAATGTTGAGTCCTTGGCGAAAAGCAGACACGAGAAGCAGTTGTAGTTCTCAGGTTTTCTTTTATTCTGTGTTCAGCTTACAGGTGAAGGCTTCAGCAGCGCCCAAAAGCTCCCAGCCTCTTATATAGGCAATTCCCGGGTCAATGTGTTACTTTTCCCGCGCCAGCACCCGCGCATGCGCACAGGCGCTGGCAACAGCCTGTCTGGTCCCGGGCAGCTTGCACCTGCCCGGGACTGCCTGCAAATGCCCCGAGCCCGTTTGCAAGGCTCGGGACATAACACCCCTTTCCCCCGGGCTAAGACTACTACCAACAGACAATTATTTCTTGATGCAGTGTTCTACTCCCCAGTGCTCCTACTGTTTACTGGCTTGTGTTTAGCCAGCAATGTTATGTAATCCTCTAAGTACTTAGGAGATTTCCTTGCTCTCTGTGACCTTCTCAGCTCTGGGTTTCTGACAGGTGTTCCCTGACTGAAGGGAGACGTGAGCCTGTTCTCCTTATCTTGCCTTGGTGCCTTCCAAGGACTGTGCCCCAATGCCTGGCCTGCTTGCTCGCCCACCGGGCTCATCAGGCCAGGGCTTCTGTCACTTTGTGACCTGGTTGACCTGCCTAGCTGTAGGCCCTCGGGCCCCTTGAAGTGATAGCCACTGCTGGGCGTCTCTGTAGAACCTCCTAGGTCCGTCCAAGACCTGTCAGGAGGCTGTCCATTCCCTAAACCCCTTTCTGTGTCCGGGCTCGTGTGGGTTTCTGTACCTTCCCAAAACTCAGTTACTCCCTGATTTGGGTTAGAGGTGTTGCGGTCGGGACTTGGTTCCTCGACCACCTCCCTGTATGTTTGACCCCCTGTAGGACTTGGGGTAAGGTCAGGCCAACTCTGGGGATTATGTGCCAGCTCTCTTGCGGGGTATGATTTATTGGGATGCTCCCGGGTATCCTCCCTGACTGGAGTACTGGCTGTGCAGGTGAATAGTGATTGTACCCCTGGGGTGACTCCCTGGCTGGAGTAGGCGTGAATGCCTGGTAGTTGGATAGGCTCTTAGAATTCCTGTTTGGGGCACTCGCGGAATCCTGGAATGGGCCGTTTGTGGCTCCATCATTGGAGGTGGGCAGCAGCTCGTGCCCCTCCCTTTGCTCTAAAGGGTCCCCCTCCCCCCTGGAAAAGACCCAGGAGTCTCATCTGAAAGATCCCGCCTAGGGCGGAGTTGGTCGATGTGCCGATGCAGGACACGACCGTTGTCCAGGGCTACCTCGTAGGATAGAGGACCTGTGACCCTGGAAATAGAAGCGGGGACCCATGTATGACCAGGCCCGTAATTGCGAGTCCAAACCGGGGCACCCACAAGTAGTTGTCTAGGTGCCCTAGGATGTGAGGTAGATGAAGGCAGTCTGTCCGGATGCAACCGGTCAAGCTTCGTAGTAAGTTTGCGCCCCCAGCGAAGTTCAGCTGGGCTTCTCCCTGTAGAAGTGGACGGTGTGGTGCGGTAAGAAAGGAGAAAGTCAGCCAACCTGTGATACCAGTCCCCATAGGTGAGTCTTTTCAAGGCGTCCTTTGTGATGCGGACCATGCGTTCAGCCATACCGTTGGTGGGCGGGTGGAAGGGTGCAGACGTGGCATGACGAATCATGTTAGCCTGTAAGAAAGCTTGGAATTCGGAGGAAGTAAATTGAAGGCCGTTGTCAGACACGATGACATCTGGAAGCCCGTGTGCATCAAAAATCCCCCTCAGTACCTGAATAGTCTTTGCAGCGGTGGTGGATGAGACAGGTACAACCTCAAGCCATTTTGAATGACTGTCAATGAGGACCAAGAAGAACTGGCCCTGAAAGGGCCCAGTGTAGTCAATGTGCACCCTAGACCATGGGGACTGTGTATCCTCCCATCTATGCACAGGAGCTTGGGGCATCTCTGGGCGAGAGCGCTGGCACAGGTGGCATGCATGCACCTTAGCCTCAATGTCCTTATCTAAACCAGGCCACCACAAGTGGCTGCGCGCAAGGGCCTTCATGCGAACAATGCCAGGATGACCCTCGTGGAGGGACTCTAAGATCCTAGTCCTCATTGAGGTGGGAATGACAACTCTGTTTCCCCAAAGCAGACAACCCTGAGAAGTGGACAACTCGTTCCTTTTGGACCAGAAACTCTGAAACTCAGGACTAGGGCAGTGCTCAGGCCATCCAGACAAAACCCAAGAAAGGACACGTGAAAGTGTGTGATCTGTGCCTGTTTCAGTGGCAACATCCCTCGCATTCAGAGGGGACTCGGGCAAGGCTTGGATGGAAAGAATGTTGACAGCTGGCACAGGGTCAGCTTCTACAACTGGCAGGGGTAGTCTACTGAGGCCATCAGCATGGCCCATTTCTTTTCTAGGCTTGTGGAGTAATGAAAAATCATATGCAGACAGAAAAATAGACCACCTAAGCATTCTAGGGGAAATGATTTGGGGAGTTTGTTTACGTGTGGTAAACAGTCCCAGCAGAGGCTTATGGTCAGTGAAGATCGTGAAATGCCTGCCATACAAAAAATCATGGAATTTTTTAATTCCAGCAACAACAGCCAGAGCCTCCCTGTCTATCTGAGCGTAGTTGCGCTCAGCAGAAGACAGTGTTCTGGAGTAATATGCAACAGGAACCTGAGTTCCATCAGACCTGAGGTGGCTCAGGACGGCTCCTACCCCGTAAGGGGAAGCATCACAAGCGATGCACACAGGAAGGGACTCATTGAAGTGTGCAAGTACACTGTTAGAAGTGAGTAAGGCCTTGACCTCATTGAAACTAGCCTCATGTGTTCGTGACCACTGCCACACTGCTTGTTTGTCTAACAGCCTGTGAAGAGGCTCAGCTACACTAGCTTTATGTGGAAGAGAGGAATTGTAGAAATTCAGGAGGCCCAGGAAGGCCTGAAGTTCGGCCTTAGACTTTGGCCTAGGTGCTTCTAAATTGGGAGTTAGTTTAGATTCAGCAGGGTGAATCCCAGCAGCATCAATTTTGAACCCCAGAAATTCAGTAGAAGGCACCCCAATTTTGCATTTGTCTTTTTTGAGCTTGAGGCCTGTTTTCCTGAACCTTAACAGAACAGCCCTTAGCCTTTCAGCTAGAATGTGTGTGGAGTCTCCTGCAATTAAGACATCATCAAAGTAGGGGCAAACCCCCGGTATGCCCCGTAGTGTGTTTTCCATTACGCTTTGGAAAATCCCAGGAGCGACATTCACTCCAAACTGTAGCCTTTTTACCTTAAAGGCTCCCCTGTGGGTCACAATAGTCTGAGCTATAGCAGCATCATCATCAACAGGCAGCTGTTGATACGCTTGAGCTAGGTCAAGCTTTGCAAAAACGCCCCCCCCCCTTGAGGGAGGCCAGAATATGACTGACCACAGGAACAGGATAGGCATGTTGCTGCAATGCCTTATTAAGAGTGCATTTGTAGTCAGCACAAATGCGAATGTCCCCATTTGCCTTTAGAGGCGTGACAATGGGGGTCTCCCAAGGGCTGGAATCAACAAGTTCTAGAATTCCCTGTTGGATCAGTTTGTCTAACTTCAGTGTCAATTTTACTCTTTAAAGCAAAAGGGACCCTTCTTGCTTTAATTCTAATTGGAGTGACAGTGGGGTCTAGTTTTAAGGACACAGGGGGTCCCTTGAATGTGCCCAGCTGGGGGCTGAAGACATCTGCAAATTCTTTGCAGACTTCCTGTAGGTCGAGTGTTTGTAAGCTGTTGAGCCCCGTGACGTGTATCCCCAAGGCTTCAAACCAATCGAGTCCTATGAGACTCGTTCGTTCACCCCCTACTACTAATAGGTCTAGTGGACCTTCAAAATTCTTATACTGTACATTAAGGGTGGCCTCCCCCTTAACACACACTCTCGAATTCTGAAAATCTGTTAGCACAATGTCAGAAGGCCTTAACTTGGCCTGAGTTCCACTGCCGGAACAAATCTTCCTAAAAGTAGGCAAGGAGATGATTGAAAGTGCAGACCCCATGTCTAGTTCCATGGTTAATGGAACCCCTTGTAGCTTCACCTTGAGTGACAGCTTTTTCTTAATGGGCTTGTGTGTGCCTGTCCTAAGGATGCTCCTTCGCGAAGCGCAAAAACCTACCCTATTCTGGCTAGGGACCCTGGTACCTTTCAGGCGCAGTTCTTCCTGAGGTAGTACCTTTTGTCGGCCCAGACACACAGCTGCAATATCTCCTTGTTTCCCGCACGCCCGGCAGATCGCGGCGCGGAACTTGCAGTCGGCTCTCCTGTGGCGACCTCCACAGCCGATGCACTTGAGGGAAGCTGAAGAGCTTCCTTTCCGGTTCTCTTCCTTCGTGGGGTGAAGACGGTCGACTTCCTCGTCCGGATCCTCCTCGGAGTTCCCTTGGACTTCTTCTTGGTGCACGGATGCAACATCTGGACTGTTCCTGATCGGCCGCATGTTCTTGATGGCGCCGCCTGCTGCTTCTTCTGCGGTGACCTCTCTTAAGGCATCTTGGAAAGACCTTTTTGGCGAAAAGCCTCTGTTGTAGCTCTCGATGCCTTAGCCCGCACACGAATCGATCCCTCAGTCGTTCTTCGAGGTCCTTGAACTCGCAGTGCTTGGCGGCCTTTCTTAATGCGGCGATGTATTCTTTGGCCGATTCTCCGGATCGTTGATCCCTCTGCTCGAAAGTGTGGCGCCATGCGATGACGGACATCTTAGGCTGGAAGTGCTCCTTCAGTAGCTTCTTTAGATCTGCATAGTTGACAGACTCTAATGGGACAGGTGCTGCGAGGTTCTCCGCAATTTCGAAGGCATCTTGACCACAGACACACAGCAGGGTGGCAGCCTTCAAGCTATCTTCCCTCACTTGGTTCACCTTGAGGTAGTTTTCCAACCTGGCTACGTAGGACTCCCACCTCTCTGGATGTGAGACATCGAACTCCGAAAGCCTTCCAATTTTCGCCATCTTCAGGAGACGGGTCTATCAGCCAGCCTACCCCCGAATGCACGCTGGATTGGCGGGTAGCTGCCGAGTCAACTCCGTTCCGCTGCTCAGGACTCACTTGGGTAAGCTTACACCTCTTCCTTTCCAGACGATGTAAGGCATCCCACCTTCGTCGCCAGTGTTGAGTCCTTGGCAAAAAGCAGACACGAGAAGCAGTTGTAGTTCTCAGGTTTTCTTTTATTCTGTGTTCAGCTTACAGGTGAAGGCTTCAGCAGTGCCCAAAAGCTCCCAGCCTCTTATATAGGCAATTCCTGGGTCAATGTGTTACTTTTCCCGCGCCAGCACCCGCGCATGCGCACAGGCGGTGGCGACAGCCTGTCTGGTCCCGGGCAGCTTGCACCTGCCCGGGACTGCCTGCAAATGCCCCGAGCCCGTTTGCAAGGCTCGGGACATAACACTAAAGACTTTGATTGTGTGGATCACAACAAATTGTGGCACGTTCTTAAAGAGATGAGAGTACCAGACATCTTATTTGTCTCTTGAGAAACCTATATGTGGGTCAAAAAGCAACAGTGAGAACAGGACACGGAACCACTAGCAGTGGTTCAAAATTGGGAAAGGAGTCTGGCAAGGCTGTATATTGTCACCCTGCCTATTTAACTTATATGCAGAACACATCATGAGAAAGGCAGGGCTAGATGAATCAAAAGTTGGAATTAAGATTGCCGGGAGAAATATCAACAACCTAAGATAGGCAGATGATACCACTCTAATGACAGAAAGTGATGAGGAACTAAAGAGCCTCTTAATGTGGGTGAAGAAGGAGAGTGCAAAAGTTGGCTTGAAACTCAACATTAAGAAAACCAATATCATGGCATCCGGGCCTCTCAATTCCTGGCAAATGGATGGGGCAGAAATGGAGGTAGTGACAGATTTTATTTTCCTGGGCTCCAAGATCACCTCAGATGGGGTCTGCAGCCAAGAAATTAAAAGACGCTTGCTCCTGGGGAGGAAAGCTATGGCAAATCTAGACAGCATACTAAAAAGCAGAGACATCACCCTGCCAACAAAAGTGCATATAGTTAAGGCCATGGTTTTCCCAGTTGCAATGTATGGATGCGAAAATTGGACCATAAGAAAGGCTGAGCAACAAAGAATTGAGGCCTTTGAACTATGGTGCTGGAGAAGACTCCTGCGAGTCCCTTGGACTGCAAGGCATTCAAACTGGTCAGTCCTAGAAGAGATCAACCCCGACTGCTCTTTAGAAGGCCAGATCCTGAAGTTGAAACTCAAATACTTTGGCCACCTAATGAGAAGGAAGGACTCACTGGAGAAGGGACTAATGCTGGGAAAGATTGAGGGTAATACAAGAAGGGGACGACAGAGAATGAGGTGGCTTGATGGAGTCACTGAAGCAGTAGGTGTGAACTTAAATGGACTCCAGAAGAAGGTAGAAGACAGGAAGACCTGGAGAAACATTGTCCATGGGGTGACGATGGGTCGGACATGACTTTGCAATTAACAAAAACAAGGATGTGACATGCTCTATTGAGTTTCCACCATTGTTGCACAACATGTTTGGGATCTGAGCTTACCAATTTCAAAAAGAAGAGTAGGCTAAAATAAATTAAAAAGATATATATGTGTGTGAGAAGGGAAGACACAAAGACATAGACAGACAGACAGAGTGGAAAGAGCCTGTAAGAAACAATGGGAGTATGAAAGAAAGAGAGGGAGAGATGTAATTAAAGTGAAAAATATACTCTTCCTATCACATTTGCAGACAGAAGCACTAGGATAAAGTACCGCTGTTTTGACTTAGTGCTCAAATGAGAATGTATACATTGCAAGGGTGATTCTCCATGTCTTTTCAGCTCCATCCATTTCTAAGAAACTTCCAGATTTACAATTTTTCTGTAAATGACATTTATTTGAATGAGTATGGAATTCCCACTGCTGACTTTAATATCATGGACTGGGCAATATTTCCCAACAAATCTGCTGTTGGGGTGATAATTGGGAATGTTGAAAAAGAAGTCTCTTCAGACATCAAGATCTCTGTGGATGAGAGTGCCATCATATGGCCAACATCTTTTAACCAGGTAACCAAGTCTGCCTCTATGTGGGTTTTATTGTTCACCTGTTCCTATGTATCCATGTGATTTTTTGGTTTATCAGTCTTTTAACTCAGATGGAGAGTCACCACTGCTAAAAGTACAAGTTGAAGGAGAAATTATTTTTCATGGTCTTCTCAAAAGATCTGTTCTTATGATAAGGGATATCCGGTTTGATGTTGTAGTGATACAGTTGTGGGGAGTGCGAAGCTCCACACCCCACAGCTGATTTCCTTCTACCAGGGAGCCCCAAAAGCCCAAAAGTCACCCCAGAGAGGCAATAACAAAGAAGGAAACCCTTGTTGATCATGGGCAGGTCGCAATTAGCACATTTGATCTGAGGAAATCCCTCCAAACCCACAGAAGAGAGATGGACTGCATTTATGCAGTCTGTACAAGAGCTACTGACAGCTGGGAAGGGTGAGGACTAGCCCTACGAGAGGATCAATAACAGTATGTCATGGAACTGGGTGAGAAGATCCTCTTTCTATCTACCATTTTTGAACACTATTCCTTGGAATAAATTCCCCCAAAGCAAGAACTCCCCAGATGTGACTGGAGGAAGGGGATATCCCCCCCCCACCAGAGAAACAAAAGTGGGAGGAAGAAAACTTGAAGGGGGACAGGAATAGAGAATACAGAATGATAAACCATGAGTAATATAAAGACATTGCTTTGCTAAATTTGATCAACCATCAAAATTATTAATTTGTGCTTAAAAAATAATAGTATGAGACTAATCTTATGAATAACTTTTGATTTAAACTCCAATTACTTGGGAGAGTGGCATCTAGTGGTGAAATAGAGACAAAATCTTTCATATATTATCCCTGGGATGGACTTGGCATAAAGCCCAGATACAGATAAGCAGCCAGCTGGATGACTTTGAAAGCTCTTGGAACAGCTGAAGATAGAAGGAAGCAGGACTTTATATAATATTTTATCACTGAATGTATGGAATTATACTGCTCACTGTGGATTACAAACGTTGGTTGACCTGGGATTTCAAGAAACATCTAGAGACAGAGAACAATATGGCTTTTTACTACTCCTGGCTTGGTGAGTCTTACTGATTGGTTTAAGATTAGCTGGCCATTTTGATTACAAATATCGATTGACTTTATAACTACTCCTCCAAACCTGATAGTGACAGACAGTTTTTTTTGAGATAAAGATACTTTCCAGGGGGCACAACAGATTGATGATAGAGTAACTGGAGGAATAAAAAAACAGAGTATCCCAAACCTTGCTAAAACTTCTAAAAAATCTCCTTCATCACCATCATCTGGGTAGCCCAGCCCAGTATATCAGAGATTGATTGAAGCCATGATTCAACAAGAAATGAAATGCAAACAACATTGCAATCAATTCAGGAAGCAATTGTTTCACATAAAGAAGATACAAGGAAACAAGGAAACAAGAAACAATTTGGATAAGATAAATGAGCAGGTCTTCAATATAAACTCACAATTAGAAAATTCTCAACAAATGATTACAAAAAATGAGCAAGAAATCCAGAAAATGGAAGAGAAATCAAAAGAAACTAAGAAAAAGATGGAGGAAAGAAAAGAAGAAAATCAAAAATTAGCACAGGCAAATAAAAGCTTGGAAGATACAATCACAATACTGGAAATGGAAAAAGATCACACTTTTTAACAGAACAGAACGTACCTGAAGATAAGGAGGAAGTCCTAACATAAATGATTACTAATTTGTTTGCTGAAGCACTAGAAGTGAAAAAAATGAGATGGAAGGAGAATTGGATCAGGTATATAGAATTAACTCAAGCTACACAAGGAGACATAGACTCCCTAGGTTCACATTAGATTTGTGAAAAAAACAATGAAATATTGAAGAGAGTAAGAGATGAGCTGCTGATGTATAGAAAAAAAGAAATTGTGGTCCTGAACAGATCCCTAGGAGGATAAGATATTCTCGAAAATACTACCAATTTTTGATTATAAAATTAAATGAAAAAGGAGTGAATTTCAGATGGTTGGTCCTAGAGGGAATATTAATAAATTGGGATATGAAAATTGGACTCCATCTTTAAGGCAACAGAGTTCTATGAGACATACAGAAGTTTTCTTGAAGAGAAAACACAAGAACCACAAGGGGATAGGGAAGATGAAATACAGAGAAAGTTAGTAACAGAAGAGACACCCATACAAAAAGAAGAAGAAGAAGAAGAAGAAGAAGAAGAAGAAGAAGAAGAAGAAGAAGAAGAAGAAGAAGAAGAAGAAGAAGAAGAAGAAGAAGAAAATACAGATACAGATCAAGAAAGAGAGTAGGTGATAAAAGAACAGAGACAGGAATTGTCCACTAGGTGAATAAAACCTAAATATAAGAAGATGGAGAAAGAAAGTGGAATTTTCTCAATGAATATAAATGAATTGAACTCCCCATCAAAAAGAAATATTTTCTGCACGATTACGGAAACTAAAAATAGATATAATTTGTCTCCAAGAAACACATATAAAAAAACAACACTATAAATTGCTGGAATATTCCAAAATTGGGAAACTTTATTTTACATCAGCATCTCAAAAGAAAAGAGGGGCCACTTTATATATAAAAGAGACATTGGAATCCAAACAGGTCTACTCAGATAAAGAAGGAGGAATCCTAATGGTAGAAATAATGATAAATCAAAACCAGATACTGATGGTAGCAATGTATGCACCAAATAACAAACAAGAAGAATTATATCAAAAATTACAAAGGAAAATATTGGAAATGGAACATCAAAGCATTTGTTTGATTGGAGATTTTAATGCAATTGTAGATAGAAAGTTAGATTATAGAAACAGCAAAAGAGAGGAAAGGGGAAAAAAGACACTCCCTAAGGTGTTTTTTAGAATGACAGAAGAAATTTCCATACAGGATACTTAGACAGAAAGTAACCCAAAAAAGACCCAGTACATGTTTTATTTGATTAGACATAAATCTTGGCCTAGAATTAATTAAGTACTAATATATATGAGATTGAGGTAAAACCTAACATTTGGGTGGATCATAATCCAATAATGCTGACCCGGAAAGAGGTAAAGAAGAAATCAAGATAGACTTTAAATCAATCTTTGTTAAAAGAGAAACAATTTGTAGAATTAGCAATAAAGGAAATGGAGTTTTTCTTTAAAGAAAATAAAAGGGAAACAATATGAATTCAGAATGTATGGGACATAGCCAAAGCGTACTTTATATTCTGGCAAATAAGACAACTCAGCGTATAAGACGACCCCCGACTTCGGCACCTATTTTAATGCTTGCGGAAGTCATCTTATACACCAGAAAGTACAGTATTTTAGAGGATTAGCTATAACATATATGGCTAAAAAGAACAACAACAAAAAAAACATAACAGAGAAGAATTCAAGAAACTGGAATTAGAATTACAAATACATCCACAAAAGAAAATTGTGAAAAGACAAATGGAGACAATGAAACATAAATTAAATTTAATAGAGTCAGAAGCATTGGTTCTACAAATAAAAAGGATAAAACAAAACTTTTTTGAAAATAAAAACAAGCTGGGAAAATGGTTGGCATATAAACTGAAAAAAGAAAGAGAGAAGAAACTGATAATAAACTACAAGATGAGAAGGGTGACATACAATTTCAAACTGATGCAATTAAAAAAACAAATAATTTTATGAAAAATTATATGATGTAGAAGGAATTTCTCGAGAAAAAAATGATACAATACTTGGAAAATGCAAACCTACCAAAAATATCAGAAAACCTAAAAAATATATTAAATGAAAAAATTACAATGATGGAAATCATAGAAGCTATAAAAAAGCAGAAAAACGATAAAATACCAGGACCGGATGTGCTACCCGCAGAGGTTTGCAAATATCTGCAAGATACATTAAGCCTACCAATGAAGAAAGTGTGAACGAGGTATTATTAGAAGATGGAAGCAAGTATTACTTTAATATGAAGGGAAGATTCAGATTTGACACAGATGAAAAATTATAGACCAATATTATTATTAAATGTGGATTATACATTTTTTGCCTCAGTAATAGCAGAGAGATTGAGAAGATTCTTGATTGAAATTGCTACTGTTAGATTAGCAAAAATGTTTAAAAATATGTCTAGCAAATGTTGGAAATGTAATCAAAATCCCAGTACATATTATCACTTGTGGTGGACATGTGTAAAAGCAAAAATCTTTTAGACTAAAATACATACTTGATGAGAAAAGATGTTAGGAAAACATGTAGATTTTAAACCTGAACTGTTTTTTTACTCGGCGTAATGCTAGAAAAGTTTGATAAACGAAATGTATATTTAACATTACATGTATTTGCACTGCACTGGAAAAATGAGATAGCACAATTAAAAGAAGCAATAAGGAAGAAAATATTGGACTGTGCAGAAATGGACAGACTCACATTGAGAATCAAAGTGAAAGAAGATACAGAATACTTTCAAATATAGAACTTATTTTATCAATGATTGGAAAAGCAGGGCAGAGAGTAAGAATTTAACCAATTTGTTCTTCCAGGTCTTCCTGTCCTCTGGAGTCCATTTAAGTTCACACCTACTGCTTCAGTGACTCCATCCAGCCATCTCATTCTCTGTCATCTCCTTCTTCTATTGCCCTCAATCTTTCCCAGCATTAGTGACCCAGTGAGTCCTTCCTTCTCATTAGGTGGCCAAAGTATTTGAGTTTCAACTTCAGGATATGGCCTTCTAAAAAGCAGTTGGGGTTGATCTCTTCTAGGACTGACCGGTTTGAACGCCTTGCAGTCCAAGGGACTCGCAGGAGTCTTTTCCAGCACCATAGTTCAAAGAATTTAAGCAATATGACTAGGCAAAAATCAACCCAGATAACACGTTGTTCATTAAGCACAAATGAATAGTAATGATAGAAAACTAATAAAAATACTTTAAAAAAAATCTATTTCTTATGATGGGAATACCAGCATTGTTCCGGTGTAGAATGGAAAACATGTTGTTGGCTAGGCCAAAGCTGCTTGTAGCACATAAGGAAACTTAGGAGCATCACAAACCAGGGAACTGGCCTTTGACGCTGAGGAACATACGGTAGGGCGTTTTATTCAGAGGAATCTTTGGTGTTCTCTGAGCTTGGTTGTTTGTTTGCAGGTAATTTCATTGGTTAATTTCCCAACTAAGTAACATCATCAATACCCGATGATAGCAGTGATAATGTTATCTACTCAAGTAATGAAATATCTGCAAACAGGCAGTCAAACCAGAGAGCATCAAGGAGTTTACAATTCAACCCTGAGTTATACAGAATTTCTTCTATTGAATCATTCAATGTTTTTTCAGAACTGGAGTCTCCTTTGAGACTCAGTTGATAGTAAATTGAGATCTAAGAAATACATATTGTAAGAAGGCAAAGGAAATGTTGTGACAGATGATGTCCTAGCAATTGCTAAGATAAGATGAAGTAACCTTTTGATTTCCATGCTTTGGACTAGGCTTTCCATAGTTTTGTATCGTTGATCAGTTGGCTGAAGCTGATAGGATCTGAAGCCCAAATGCAGAAAAATCCCAGCATAATGATGATTGGACTGGAGAGTCAGCAGCTTTTTCTGAACATTACGGGGACTCTGAGATTATAGCCTGCTGAAATGAAACTGCTAGTGGAGAAATTTCACTAAACAAAAATATTTTCATTGTATTTGGAAAAAGATCTTGAAAGTACCTTCTTGAATTCATGAACCCACTTTGGTGCTCGCTTCCATTTTTAGAAGTAATTCCCTCATTCATACATTTCTCTGATTTTTCTTTCTGTTCAGAAGGCCCCCTTTTCTAGGTGTACGGAAAGTTGCCTCCCAGGATATACCAAGCTGACTAGAGAGGGAGAACCAGTTTGCTGCTATGACTGTTCTTCATGTATTGAAGGAACTATCTCTGTGCAGGAAGGTAGGTAATTCAAGAACAAAGAAGCAGCACTAGTCTTTTATTCTAAGGATAATATAGTAGCAATAGGAATTGCACTTAGACTTACATATTGCTTCATAGTGCTTCACAGCATGCTCTAAGCAGTTTACAGAGTCAGCATATTGCCCCTCAAAAATCTGGGTCCTCATTTTACTGATTTTGAAAGGATGGAAGACTTATTGAACCTTGAGTTGATCAGTATCAAACTCCAGGCTATGGGCAGAGTTAGACTGCAATACTGCATTCTAATCACTGTGCCACCACGGCTCTGGTATTAGCAATATTTGTTCTCATATACTAATATGTTATATCTAGACTCAGGAAACAGACTAAAAACACTGCAAGAACTGTTCAGTGAAGGTAAAATTCACCATTGTGAATGTTTTCACAAGTTGCTGAAACAATAACAAGCAATTTTTCAAAAAGATTGAGAGACCTTAAGAAACACGATAGTATTTGAAACACATATAGAAAACAAGATTTATGATTAAGAACCATATATAAATTATTTTTAAAATACAACATGGAGGTGGAAAAAAATAAACATTTTTATGATAAAATGGATGCAAAATGTCAAACAATTAAGCACAATACAAAAATGAGAAGAGCTTTTAAAAAGAAAAATATAGAAAATTCACGCCAAGTTATAATTTAAGGGGAAATTGCTGCAAATGTTTTTCAAATGTTCTAAAGCTACATCAACAATTGCAAAATAAACAAATAATAGAACATTTAATGTTGGAAAAGCCACGAGAAGAAGGAACACTTTATCATCTGAGGTGGTTGTGCAAAAAAACCTCAAAAGCATTGGAATGAAATACATCAAATTATTCAGAAAAATCCTATACAAAATGAACTGAAATCACAAATATTCTTTATAGGTATAGTTTCAAAAAGCAAAAAATAATAAAAAAAAAAAAATGCTAACCCTAACCCTAACCTCAGACTCTACTAAGATATTTTTTCTGGCAGTCGCAAGAAGAAAGTTAGGAGAGATTTGGAAAAATAGATATTTTGGCAGTGATGTCAGATTGCGAGGTCAGTTTGGAGAATATGCATCAAAGACACTTGACAATACCTACAGCAGTGATTCTTGGCAACATTAAGTCATGTGGACATGAACTCCCAGAATTCCTCAGGAGCCATGGAATTCAGGGAATTGGGGAATTCTGGCTGAGGAATTCTGGGAATTGAAGTACATGTCTTAAATGTTGTGAAGGTTGAAAACGCTGATCTACAGAATCTGTGATTAAGTTTAAGCAACTTTTAAAAAGAATAGCTCCCGTATGTGGAACACATTGAACAGCAGGTTATATTTAAAGCTTTAGAACATGATTTTTAACCAGAAAGTTGTGAGATGAATCAAACCTAATATCAGATGCCAGCAAGAATCTTTACACTGTAAAGTAAAACACACACACACAGAGAAACAAATAGATTATGTGTGGAAATGTTGTGTTTGTGTTTTTGTGTTTATTCTACTCACAGCTTAGGGAAATAACAAAAGGAAAGAGAGAAATGATTTCCATAAACATAATTAACTACTTTATTCATTCTTAGTAATTAAGCATTTTTTCCTTGCATTTCATTATTTTAATAATATAATTACTTTAAAAATAGAGAGAGAAAGAGAAAATCTTCATTGCTCTATCTACATCCTGCTTCTGATTGTTTGGTCATGATGTACTGAATGTCATTGAATCACTATTTAAAAAGCAGTTGTGTTTTCCAGATGTAGCCCAATGTGCAAAATGTCCAGATGACCATTTCTCCAACGAGAAGCAGAATCAGTGTGTCGCCAAAGTTAAAACTTTCCTGTCCTACAGAGAAAACTTAGGTCTCATCCTGGCTGTCTCTGCCCTTTTTTTGTCTCTTACCACTGGCTTAGTTCTAGGAATTTTTATTAAATATCGAGAAACTCCCATAGTCAAGGCTAACAACCGTGATCTCACCTACATTCTGCTGATCTTTCTCCTGCTTTCCTTCTTGACTTCCCTTCTATTCATTGGTCAACCCAAGAAAATGACATGTCTTCTTCGACAAACTGCCTTCAGTATTGTTTTCTCAGTTGCTGTGTCATCCTTGCTGACCAAGACTATCATGGTGGTGATGGCATTTCTGGCCACAAAGCCAGGAAGCAAAGTGAGGAAATGGCTGGGGAAATCTTTGGCCAATTGCATCATCTTCTCCTGCTCTGGTGTTCAGGTGGGCATCTGTTTCATATGGCTGGGAATCTTTCCCCCATTCCCAGATTCTGACTTATATTCCCAAAAAGGGCAGATCCTACTGCAATGCAATGAAGGTTCAGTCATCATGTTCTATTCTGCCCTTGGCTACTTGGGCTTTCTGGCTTCCATCTGTTTCTTGGTGGCTTTTCTAGCCCGGAAATTACCAGGGGGCTTCAACGAAGCCAAGTGGATCACCTTCAGCATGCTGCTCTTCTGCAGTGTTTGGGTTTCTTTTGTCCCCGCCTACCTGAGCACCAAAGGAAAATACATGGTGGCTGTGCAGATCTTCTCCATCCTGACCTCCAGCCTCTGCTTACTTGGCTGCATCTTTGTCCCCAAATGTTATATCATCATTCTGAGACCTGACATGAACGTGAAGGAACATCTAATGTTGAAGAACAATGAGTGATCTAGATTTTGGCAGTTATATTTTATCCAAATTATTGCTAAGTTAAAATAAGACATTGCAAACAGTTATTTGTTCAAATAATTTTTTTCCCTCCCATGTGATTAATCTTACTATCAATAAATAGTAGAGTGAAGGTTATTGATGTTTCCTCCAGCAATTGAAAACCATGTTATTTGCCTTCTAATCTACATTTCTTCAATATCCGTTCAATATATGAGATGAATAAATAAGAAAGGAGAGTACAGTGTTGTCTCATTTCTTTACTGATCTGAAATCATACTGTTTAACTCTGGTTTTTTCAGAGTATGGCTTCGAGTCCTTGTGTAAATTTTTTAAAAGGAAAAAAAGATATTGTCAGACTGTCATTTCTCAAAAACATTCCATAGCTCAACATAATTTCTTTTAATTCTTCATTTAGTTTAAAAGATTGTTATGGTCACCTATCTTAAGACATATTTTATGTTTTATAATGTACAAAAGCCATAATCGTAACAAGTATTTCCCTTCAAAGTAAGCACTTATTTTTGTCCTCAAAAGCAAAGCAATCTGCCATCTTTTCTATTTCATCTTAGATCAACTAAGGGGTAAGGAATGGACCCACTTCATTCACTCTGTCAATATGCACAGATTTTATTCCTTGTTCTACTCTTGGTCCAAATTTTAAGCTAGACCAGCATAATGAGTCTTCCTCAGGGTTCTAATCCCTAACAGCAGAATCAGGATATGAGTCTCCCTCAAGGTTCTAGTCCCTAAGAGCAGAATGAAGATATAAGTCTTCCTCAGGGGTCTAGTCCCTAACAGCAGAATAAGGATATGTGTCTCCCTCAGGGTTCTAGTCCCTAACACCTACATACTAGGCTGGCCCAGTGGGACTGCTTTCTCCAAAATCAGCAACTAGGTCAGTTCGTCAACCCCCCATGACAAATGAATTGACCTTCAAAAATCAAAACTGAATTGCTTTTTCTCCTTTTACTCACTAGAAAGGGTGACTGAAAGCAGCAGAATAACCAAAATACCAAGCAAATACAATCCAGGCTCCACAAGTTTCTGAAACCAATATAGAGATGTTTTATCAAGGAGCTTTCCTCAGTATAATTTTTAGATGAGATGCAAATCTCTTGTCAGAGATGATGAAAAAATGATGAAAAAAATAAACAAACCCAGACCCAGGAAACTACAGACCAATCAGTCTGGTATCAATACCTGGGAAGATCATGGAAAAGATAATAAAAAATCAGATCTTTGAATATCTCAAAACAAATAAATATGAAGGCACTACTCAAGTACATGGTGTTTTGAATTAAGCATTCTCTCCTTTTGCATTAGGAGAGAAAGGAGACGAGCTCATTTCCATCAGGAAATGATTGATACTCTTTTGTATCAATAACTTTTTTTTTGCCGGCTAAAAATCTATTCAATTTATTAAGACATAATTTCAAAACTTCTTTCCCAAAAATATCTCAGTTGCAATAGTAACTTTGTAATTTAATTACAAAGTTTAGAATATGAGAAGCAACATTATTCTCAGTTTCCTTGAGTGAGTTGTGTGGGACTTCACATAGGGAGAAATGTGAGGAAGAATTTTCCTGGCGCTCTGTATTTGCAAATCACAAGAGAATTGACTCAGTAGAGAAATCTGATAATTTTGGGGGGAGGGGAACATTCATTCCCCACCCTCTCAATTGCCCTAAAGGTACAGATAATCCTCAACTAAAATTTCTGTTGCCAAATGAGATAGTTGTTAAATGAATTTTGCCCCATTTTACGACCTTTCTTGCCACAATTCAATTAAGTGAATCACTGCAGTTCTTAAATTAGTAACTTGGTTAAGAGAATCTCACTTCCTCATTGACTTTGCTTGCCAGAAGGTTGCAAAAGGTGATTATATCATTCTGGGACAGTGCAACCATCATAAATATATACCAGTTGCCAAGCGTTCAAATTTAGATCACATGCCCATGGGGATGCTGCGATAATTGTAAGTGTGAAAAACAGCCATAAGTCACTTTTTTCAATGATGTTGTAATTTTGAACGGTCACTAAATGACCTGTTGTAAGTTGAGGACTACCTGTATATTGCGATTCAATATTGAAAGCTGCTGAGAGATCCAGCAGAATACCCCACCAGAAGTTCAGTGTCCAGCAGAGTTAATTCACAGGCACAATCAGTGCTTTCTCTGTGCTGTGACTCAATGAGAAACCCAAATATAACAGGACCAGATATTCTGCTTCCCCAGAGTAAGCTTCTTGAATAATGGGAACAAGTTTCCTGAGTTGTTATTTTGACTATTAAATTGAAACTATGTCCATACGTTATGCAAAGGTTTTCCTCTCTTGCATAGTAGTAAGTGAAGTCATACAGAGAATCAACTGTGATTCCCAAATCCCTTCATAATTATCAAAATCACAATGATTACTTCATCTTCCACTAAAGGCTAGGGGACTTCTCTCACCCACAGTTATTTTGCAACAAGGTAGGTGTTAGTAACCCTCATCCACAGATTTCTCAAATATTTTGTAATTCTTATAAAAAATTGAAGCTCTGGTCCACAAGTGCCTCAAGGACGATGAACACATGGTGAGACTCCTGTAGGCATACTGTGCAGGTCTGAATTTTAATGCTGCCCTTTTAACGTGCCAGATTAAATTTTATCTTGCTTGACCAACTCAGTGGATCTGTGTTGTTTGCCTAGAGAACTTGGCTTCTCCTTAGACAGCTCTGAAGCCAAATATAGTGGGTGCCTGTCTCAGAGAATGACAGAAGTTCTCCATTATGATATCTGAAATACTGCTGATGCTTCTTCTTCTGGTGTATCATTTTCCATGTGGCACGCTGATATCCAAATGTCCATTGAACGTACAAAAAGAGGGAGATAACATATTTAATTACTACAAGCCAGGAGATTTCCTGATAAGCGGAATCATTTCTACATCTAGCAGTTTCATAAATCCATACCGCTTCTTCAAGCCTCCAAACAACCGTTTTCAAAGGTAATTCCTGATGTGAACTTCATGCTAGTGATTAATGTTTTCTCTCTCTCTCTCTCCCTCTCTCTCTCTCTCTCTCTCTCTCTCTCTCTCTCTCTCTCTCTCTCTCTCACACACACACACACACACACACACACACACATCTGTCCTGGGCAAGTGGCCATAGTCCTCTTTTTTTTCATCAGAAGGTTTATGGGCAACTTGTGCCGTAAAAGGAGTTGAGGCTGGTATTTTGCTTTCTTCAGAATGAGTGCTATTTTCCATCTTACTTTTTGTTTTAATTAATAAGATAAAAAAATAAAGAAGCCAAGGACCACAGCAGGATCCATGGCAGGTGGCCTTGGATGTAGGATATCTAAAGACCATGAAAACATCATCCATCCTATTTAAAAAGGCATTCAATTTAGTAGAGGTGACTTCAGCTGTTCCAAAGAAAAATCCATTTCTAGTAAGTGGTTGTTGTTATTATAGTTTGACATAAAAAGTTGTTGTTGATTTGATTAGGTGAATTCAGCGCAGTACTGGCTACTTTTGGAACCTTATTTTAGATATTCAATTCAGTCACTGAACCAGGATAAATTAACAATAAAATTAAAAATTACAGTCTTCCCGTATGGAAGTATCAATCCATACAGACTGTGAGGGAAGTCACTAAAAATTAAAATTAATAATATAGAACTACAGAACTAGTTCAAGATAAAATGCTTACTATTTCACCTAGCTGATATGAACATTAAAACTTTATATGCTTTAATAATAGTGACATCTACGACATTAACTGTCTACTACAAAAAAGTATGGAAATATTATAGAATATTCTATACAATGTACTGTCTGAAAAGACAATAATAACAATAAAATTAAAATTTTATTTTATGACAAAGGAATGTTAAGTTTAATATCAAGGATTCAATAGCTAGCAATGCATCTGTGCAAGGGCAGGCTCTATCATGGCTGGTGAATTTTTATTCTTAATTTTGCAAGCTGATATGCAAAATTCAGAAACATGATAGGGTATTGTTGGAAAACATTCTGAAAGAAACAAAAAGATGTAAAAGTTATCAAAAGGAGTAGGCAGTCTAGTCAGCCTTGGAGAGATGAGAGTTATTCCATCTCCTTATTATATGAATAACGAGTATTGATTAAGGCTTCAGGCTAGAAACTGGAAGAACATGAACTCTTGTTCCACTGGTTGGCCTTGGGCCAGTCACTTTCTCTCAGCCTTAGGAAGGAGGCATTGGCAAACCACTCTGGAAAAACTTTGCCAAGAAAACTGCAGGAACTCATCCAGGCAGTCTCCAAGAATTGAACACAATTGAACAGAAGAAAAAAAAGGAATAATAAAGAAGAACAAATTTGGAGATTTTCCAAGATGCAGTGTTATTCCAGAATAATCTGCCCCAACCCTCAGATTATTATTATTAGAAGAGAACTCTACTAGAACATTGGTCTTCCCTTTTTTTCATCAAGCACATCAAAGTCACTAGATTCCTTGGAGGATATTGGTAATATTAAGGACCATCATATCAATACTGTTTTAGAACAACCATGCAGATAGAATTTATCGAGGATGATCTATCCTCAATCTTTGAATTAGAATAGAATATAACTGGAAGAGGCCTTGGAGGTTTTCTAGTCCAACCCCTTGCTAAAGTAGGCGATCCTATACCATTTCAGACAAGTGGCTGTCCTGTCACTTCTTAAAAATCACCAATGATGAAGCACCAACAACTTTCGAAGGCAAGCTGTTCCACTGGTTAATTGTTCTCACTGTTAGAAAGTTTCTCCTTAATGCCAGGTTGCTTCTCTCTTTGATTAGTTTCCATCCATTGTGTCTTGTCTTGCCTTCTGGTGCTTTGGAAAATAAGTTGACCTCCTCTTCTTTGTGGCAGCCCCTCAAATACTTGAATACTGCTATCATGTCACTCCTAGTTCTTCTTTTCGCTACATTAGCCATACCCAATTTCTGCAACTGTTCTTCATGTTTTAATCTCCAGGCCTTTAATCATCTTAGTTGCTCTTCTCTGTACTTTTCCAAAGTTTCAACATCTTTTTTCTAATGTGGTGACCAAAACTGGATGCAGTATTCCAGATATGGTCATACTAAGATTTTATAAGGCAATACTAATACTTCACATGATTTTGATGTCAAGCCTGTGTTTATATAACCAAGAATTATATTAGCTTTTTTGGCTACTGCAGCACACTCCTGGCTCATATTTAAGTGATTGTTCACTAAGATTCCAAGATCCATTCTCACAGTTATTGGTATTGAACCATGTTTCATCTAGTCTATAGCTACACAGTTGAAGGCAATTTGTGGTCAATAGGACTGTGCTTTTAATAGCAAGATCCAAAGAAGTCCATCACCTGGCATGGTCCAAAAAATGATACAGACATCTCACATTATTTTTTTGAGGAATTAATTTCTGAGAATATTTCCTGCTTTACAATATAGGGAGTGAGCTTTTGGTCTGACTTCTCCTGCTTTCCCCTTCATGGGGTCAACCAGAATCCAAAGCTGTTACTAAAGGTCACCCTGGGCTACAGCATTAGAGATACATTAGAGGGTGATGCATTCCATAACTAACTTCAGATTGTTAGATTGTCAAATTTGTGTACTAGACTTATAAGACAGCAATCCAACTGATTACTTATAAATGTCCTTAAAGGAACAGCTTCAGGAAATATGATGTGTTTTTATGAACTGAAGATGAAAACCAACTGCAGTCTCTTATCTTGCAGTATACAGAGTATGAGCTTCTGGCATGTCCTGCCCTTCTTCTTTGCCATTCATGAGATCAACCAGAATCCAAAGCTGCTACCCAACATCACCCTGGGCTACAGCATCTATGAGAACTTTTTCAACGCAAGGATAACATATGAGGTCATGATGGACTTGCTGTCTACAGGGCAAGAGAATGTCCCAAACTACAGTTGTGGAAGACAAAATAATCTTTTGGCTGTGCTTGAAGGGACTGATTCAGAGTTCTTTACTTCCATTTCAACTATGCTGGGCATCTACAAAATTCCACAAGTAGGAATGAATAATGAAGCTAATTTCATTTTGTAAAATCTACTGATAATCCAAAAGGGGTCAGATAATAAATAAAATAGTCAGATTAAAGAACACCTGAACTATTCATTAGGCATTCAAATACCTTTCTTCATTCTTACATCATTGCATATCTTGATTTTTTTTAAAGATACATAGATTACACAGAGTTCAGCTGAATGAACCTTCACCCATAGCTCATCTGAAGTGCTCTCAACCATATTTTGCATGGAATTTGCATCCTGTTCCCCCCCCCCTTCTGCCTCTTTTCCGTGTCTTCTGGTCACTGCAGTCTCATGTCTTGGCAGACAAAAACATCTTTTTACCCTTAATCCAACCAATTCCAAACAACATCTCTAAGGATTGTAATGAAAATTACATAGGAAAATGTTACTTTAAGAGAGTTTTTCCCTACTTGCATGCAAAGACAATGAAAACATATCCAGCTGACATATTTTTTCTACTGCATTCACATGATGTTCCATTTTCCCCAATCTATGATCAAAGCAAATCAAATGATATATTTTTTTAAAGCCTTTACAATACAAGAGTACAGCAAAAAGAGAAACACTGTAATACAGCAATTTGTTATTGGGGAAAGGAAAAAAGAAAATAAAACAGCATATCTAATGAAAAGTTCTGTGCAGTTGTATAACTTGGTGAATATAATTGATCAGCTGATATGTCAGTATAGAGTTAACATCAGAAAAAAAATCCCTTAGAGATAAGAACTTATTTCTGTCCTTAAAAGCAAGCAATCAACCATCTTTTGTGTTTCATCTTAGATCAACTATGGGGTCATCAGCCACATTCCAGAGCAGAAACATCATTTCCCTTTTTTCTACCGGATGAGTCCAAAACAAGAACCTCCTCACTTGGCAATTGTCAAGTTGCTCCTGCATTTCCGATGGACATGGATCGGCCTCGTTGCTCCGGACAATGAAAGTGGAGAAAAGTTCAGAAGAACCTTTGTGCCAGAAGCCGTAAGGAAAGGTGTCTGTGTTGCCTTCTCAGAAAGCTTATCCTTGGATCGTAGAGCAACGAGGGAAAAGAACATCCTTGAATATTTTAGCGACACTAAAGTGAAAAGTATTGTTTGTTACTTGAACTTTCAGGTCACATTAATACTAGCAGTGCTATTACGAGACATTGAAAAGAAAAAAATCCTGTTTGAGGAAAAAGTATGGATTGCTACAGCTTTGTCAGATTTAAATGTGAGATTATTTTACCAATTTGTTAATCTCCAGCATAACCATCTTTTATTATCCTTCTCAATTAAGGCAAAGAAAAGGACACAATATTATGATTTTAATTCACATTATTCTGCTACAGGAAAGTTTGGAAAGGCAGCATTTCTGTGTTCTTATTCAAGCCCTTTGTTGTCTAAGAAAGTTTGGAACAGATGCCTTGAAAAAGAGACTTGGGAAGTCCCATCCCCGGATCTGGTTGAAAGAATCCTGTCTGAGGATGGCTCCAGTATTTCCACAACAATCCAGGTTGTGGCCTGGGTCCTCAGTGCTGCCTTTTCCTCCCAAATGAGTAAGAGGAGGATGCCTGTTGGGGACCACCAGACACTCCAGATGGTACTGCCATGGCAGGTAATGCTTCTTCAAAATGTTGCTGATGGTTCCCTTTCCATTCTTAAATGTAACAATTGCCTGTTTCTAATATTTGTTCTGACCAAACAGATAGATTTTGTTGCTGAATCTTCTAGATTAAACCTGGTGTGCTGATTCAGGATGCTTGTGACATTAGGATATGATGTCTCAAGAAACTGGAAGGTTCTTTTCACAATTGTTGAATAAATAAGCAGTAGGATATGACAATAACCATCATGCTCTATTGAGCTTCCACCATTGTTGCACAACATGTTTGGAATCTGAGATTACGAATTTTAGCACAGCAGGCTAAAATAATAAACTAAAAAGATCTGTATCTGTGTGAGAGGGGGAGACAGACAGACATAGACAGACAGACAGAGTGGAAAGAGCCTGGAAGAAACAATGGGAGTGGGAAAGAAAGAGAGGGAGAGATGTAATTAAAGTGAAAAATATACTCTTCCTACCACATTTGAAGACAGAAGCACTAGGATAAAGTACCTCTGTTTTGACTTAGTGCTCAAATGAGAATGTATACATTGCAAAGATGATTCTCCATGTCTTTTCAGCTCCATCCATTTCTAAGAAACTTCCAGATTTACAATTTTTCTGTAAATGATGTTTATTTGGATGAGTATGGAATTATCACTGCTGACTTTAATATCATGGACTGGGCAATATTTCCCAACAAATCTGCTGCTGGGGTGATAATTGGGAATGTTGAAAAAGAAGTCTCTTCAGTCATCAAGATCTCTGTGGATGAGAGTGCCATCATATGGCCAACATCTTTTAACCAGGTAACCAAGTTTGCTTCTATGTGGGTTTTATTGTTCACCTGTTCCTATGTATTCATATATTTATAGTGTATTATACTCTATTTAAACCCCATTTCAACTCCTGCCGGGCTGCTGGAACGTGCTATATTGCATCAGCTGCAGCTAGATCTGTAAGTTTTGGGAGAATCCACCAGGAAAGTAGCGAGGCCCTGATTGGATCTCCATTATATTTATAGAATTATATAACTAAAAATCACAAACAGCAGCAGTTCATTCAGGGCAAGTGTGTCTGAGATCCCCTGTATCTAAGAATGTCTGGCTTAGTTCAATGCAACACTTACTTTGCAGCTGTCTTTCACAGCACACTTTTCAAACTTGGAAACTGTCCTATCTGTAAACAAATCACTAGCCTACAAGGACAGATCATTTACCTAGGGTCTGTAATCCGTGCTCTTCGGGCAGAAATTAGGTGTCCAGTTCAGCCCCTCTACTCTAGTAATCGTCCGTGCTATCAGCCCCCTTTACCACAAAGATCCTGCAGGAGAAGGGCAGTGTGGACAACCGTGGGTTCTGGCAGGGTGAGAGCTGTAGACCATAAACACCAAGCGTTCGCTATGTCCCTGCACAACAGTTACAGTGCCCTTGCTGACCTTAATAGGGACATTAAGGAGACAGGTAAAGGTATTTGTGAAGATAACTCAAATAAGCAGAGGATTGTGGTCCGAGATGAAGAACTAGATTTTGACAGGGAGAAGTGTGAATCAGGTATTGCACATCAGTCATGCAAGAATAGAAAGGCACCCAAAAAGAGAAGCTACCTTCTGGTAGGTGATTCAGTTATAAGGGATGTAAATTTAGGAAAGGACACAGAGGCTTCGAAAGAGGTCAGGTGTCTTCCAGGTGCTACTGAAAGTAGGGACAAGAAGCGTATTTCTAAAATAATCAAGAATGGCAGCAAGGACTGTGATGTGGAGGCTATTGTACATCTTGGCAGTAACGATCTGTCCCAAAAAGATGTACTCTCTGTGCAGAACGATGTCCAGAGCTTGGGGAAGGAACTTAGCAGAATAGGCTGTAGGCTTACTTTCTCAGAGGTTTTACCAGTGTATAAGGAGCAAAACGGAAAAGGCCAGCGCATAGCACAATTCAATATGTGGCTAAAGGAGTGGTGTAAAGGGGAAGGCTTGGGATATATTAGTCACGATGTCAGTAGCTGGTCCAATCAAAAGATGTACAAAAGAGATGGTTTGCATCCATCAAAAAAAGGGACTGAGTTACTCGGCTATAAATTCACAGATTTTCTGGAGGGACATTTAAACTAAACAGCGGGGACAGGGAGTTAATTGATACGGAACAACCCTGTCCCCGGCAATTTAAAAATTATAGGGCTATCAGTGCATGTAGCATAGATGTGTGTATGGACAAGAATACCAACCTTGCTATCAAGCAAAATGAAGCCTCTAATAGCGAGTGCCACATAAAGTGCACTAACCAAATAGGTGGTAAGACAATAGGGGAACTCAGGCACCACACAGGTTATGTAGGAAGGAAACACAGGGCCATTCACAAAGGACTCAAATGTTTATACACCAATGCACAGAGTATGAACAGCAAACAGAGTGAACTAGAAATTCAGGTTAATGAGGACAGATACGATATTGTTGCCATTACAGAAACATGGTGGAATGAAACCCACACATGGAACACACAGCTAAAAGGATTTAAATTATTTAAAAGAAACAGACCAAATAAAAGAGGAGGTGGAGTTGTTCTCTATATAAGAAATAACTACATCTCCACAGAAATAGAGCACAACAATGATAAAAACTGTCTTTGCATTTGGGTCAATATAAAAGGGGGGGAAAATGACATTGCCATAGGTGTATACTACAGACCACCCAACCAAACAGAGGAAATAGATGAACTTTTTGCTAGTCAGCTAACTAAAGTATGTAGGAAGCACATCACAATAGTAATGGGGGACTTTAACTACCCTGACATCAACTGGGAGACAAACTCCACACCAAGTGGAAGATCAAACAGGTTCCTGGCAAACCTAGCAGACAACTTTGTCTCCCAAAAAAGTAGAGAAGGGAACTAGGGGATTAGCCATTTTGGATCTAATTCTCACTAACAGAGATGAAATGATAGACGGTGTTGAAGCCATAGGAACCCTGGGAGGAAGTGATCATGCAATATTAGAATTCAACATTATAGAAGCACAACCAATAGAACACAGTCAAACTAGAGTCTTGGACTTCAAGAGAGCTAATTTCAATAAACTTAGAGAAGGCTTGGGAAGGATTCCATGGATGAGAATCCTCAAGGGGAAAACAACTCAAGAAGCTTGGGAAATTTTGAAAAATGAGCTAATAAAAGCACAGTCTAGCACAATACCAACAAAGAGGAAAAATAACAGCTCTCAAAAGAAACCAGCATGGCTGCATAAAGAACTCTCTGACAAATTGAAAGATAAAAAGGACAAGTATAGAAAGTGGAAAGAGGGGAACACAACTAAGTCAGAATATCAGCAAATAGCCTGAGCCTCCAAAGATGAAGTGAAGAAAGCCAAGGCTTAAAATAAACTAAGGCTTGCGACCAGAGTCAAAAATAACAAAAAAAGCTTCTTTAAACATGTAAAAAACAAGAAAAAAGTGAAGGAAATGATTGGTCCATTAGTGGGTGAAAGTGGCAAGAAGGTGACAAGCAACAGGGAGAAAGCAGAACTATTTAACTCGTTTTTTGCATCTGTCTTTACACAAAGGGAAAAAACAGACCAACCTATCAAAAATAGTGCCATAAAAAAACAAAATAGAAACACAAGTTAAGATAGGCAAGAAAATGGTAAGTGAGCACCTGTCCAGCCTAGATGAGTTCAAATCACCAGGACCAGATGGATTACACCCCAGAGTTCTCAAGGAACTGGCAGATGTGATATCGGAGCCACTGAACTATATTTTTCAAAGATCCTGGAACACAGGGGAACTACCAGAGGGCTGGAAAAGAGCTGATGTAGTTCCCATCCTCAAAAAAGGAAAAAAAATGGATCCAGGAAATTACAGACCTATCAGCCTGACCTCAATACCTGGGAAGATCCTGGAAAAGATAATCAAACAACAAATCAACGAACACCTAGAGGCAAACGAAGTCATTACTAAAAGCGAACACGGGTTTGTCAAAAATAGATCATGCCAGACAAATCTTATTGCATTCTTTGACCAAGTGACAAAATTAGTGGATCAGAGGAATGCTGTGGACATAATTTACTTGGACTTCAGTAAGGCATTTGATAAAGTAGATCACACCCTACTACTTGACAAGATAGAAAAATGTGGGGTAGACAGAACCACCACCAGATGGATCCGTAGCTGGCTGACCGGCCGTACTCAGCGAGTGGTCCTCAATGGAACTGCATCTATATGGAGGGAAGTGTGTAGTGGGGTGCCCAGGGCTCTGTTCTGGGCCCAGTGCTCTTCAACATCTTCATTAACGATTTGGATGAAGGGATAGATGGGAACTCATCAAATTTGCAGACGACACCAAGCTGGCAGGAATAGCCAACACTCCAGAAGACAGGCTTAAGATACAGAAGGATCTGGACAGACTTGAACACTGGGCACTAACTAACAAAATGAAATTCAATGGTGAAAAAAGCAAGGTTCTACATTTAGGCAAGAAAAACCAAATGCACAAGTACAGCATAGGTGGCACCCTGCTCAATAGTAGTAACTGTGAGAGGGACCTCGGAGTCCTAGTAGACAATCACTTAAATATGAGCCAGCAGTGTGCTGCAGCTGCCAAAAAGGCCAACACAGTGCTAGGCTGCATTAACAGAGGGATAGAATCAAGATCACGTGAAGTATTAATACCACTCTTCAATGCCTTGGTAAGGCCACACTTGGAATACTGCATCCAGTTTTAGTCACCACGATGTAAAAAAGATGTTGAGACTCTAGAAAGAGTACAGAGAAGAGCAACAAAGATGATTAGGGGACTGGAGGCTAAAAAATATAAGGAACGGTTGCGAGAATTGGGTATGTCTAGTTTAATGAAGAGAAGGACAAGGGGGGACATGATAGCAGTGTTCCAATATCTCAGGGGCTGCCACAAAAAAGAGGGAGTCAAGCTATTTTCCAAAGCGCCTGAAGGCAGGACAAGAAGCAACGGATGGAAACTAATCAAGGAGAGAAGCAACCTAGAACTAAGGAGAAACTTCCTGACAGTGAGAACAATTAATCAGTGGAACAGCTTGCCTCCAGAAGCAGTAAATGCTCCAACACTGGAAGTTTGTAAGAAGAGACTGGACAGCCATTTGTCCGAAATGGTGTAGGGTTTCCTGCCTGAGCAGGGGGTTGGACTAGATGACCTCCAAGGTCCCTTCCAACTTTACTACTATTACTATTACTAATTATACTGTTCACTGTGGATTACAAACGTTGGTAGACCTGGGATTTCAAGAAACATCTAGAGACAGAGATACTCCTGGCTTGGTGAGTCTTACTGATTGGTTTAAGATTGGCTGGCCATTTTGGATTACAAACATCAATTGATTGGCAACTCTTGGACTTTGGACTCTGGACACGGGGCTATTATAGACTTTATAACTACTCCTCCAAACCTGATACTGACAGACAAAACTGGACTACAGTTTTCGTTTTTTTTGTAGCAAGTCAGACAAGAACTATAAGAATTACATAACATGATTTTAAATTTAAATTGTGTACTGATGTATTGAATACGAGATCTGGGGTTTTTTTTCAGATAAAGATACTTTCCAGGGAGCACAAAAGATTGATGATAGAGTAACTGGAGGGGGAATAAAAAAACAGAGTATCCCAAACCTTGCTAAAACTTTTTAAAAATCTGCTTCAGCACCATCATATGGGTAGCCCAGCCCAGTATATCAGAGATTGATTGAAGCCATGATTCAACAAGAAAGGAAATGAAAACAACTTTGCAATCAATTCAGGAAGCAATCATTTCACAAAAAGAAGATACAAGAAGACAAGGAGACAAGAAAGAATTTGGATAAGATAAATGAGCAGGTCTTCAATATAAACTCACAATTACAAAATTCTCACCGAAGATTACAAAGAATGAGCAAAAAATCTAGAAAATGGAAGAAACTGAGAAAAAGATGGAGGAAAGAAAAGAAGAAAATCAAAGATTAGCACAGGCAAATAAAAGCTTGGAAGATACAATCACAATACTGGAAATGGAAAACGCGTCACACTTTTTAAGACTACAGAACATACCTGAAGATAAGGAGGAAGTCCTAACAGAAATGATTACTAATTTGTTTGTTGAGGCACTAGAAGTGGAAAAAAATGAGATGAAAGGAGAATTGGATCAGGTATATAGAATTAACTCAAGCTACACAAGGAGACATAGACTCCCTAGGTTCACGTTAGATTTGTGAAAAAAACAATGAGAGATGAAATATTGAAGAGAGTAAGAGATGAGCCACTGATGTATAGAAAAAAAAGAAATTGTGGTTCTGAACAGATCTCTGGGAGGATAAGATATTCTCAAAAATACTACCAATTTTTGATCATAAAATTAAATGCAAAAGGAGTGAATTTCAGATGGTTGGTCCTGGAGGGAATATTAATAAATTGGGATGTGAAAAGATATGGATTGGACTCCATCTTCTATGAAACATATAGAAATTTTCTTGAAGAGAAAACACAAGAACCACAAGGGGATGGGGAAGATGAAATACAGAGAAAGTTAGTAACAGAAGAGACACCCATGCAAAGAGAAGAAGAAGAAGAAAAAGAAAATACAGATCAAGAAAGAGAGTAGGTGATAAAAGAACAGAGACAGGAAAGATCCACTAGGTGAATAAAACCTAAATATAAGTAAAGAAGATGGAGAAAGAAAGAACAAAAAACAAAAACAAAAAACAGAGAAGAATTGAAGAAACTGGAATTAGAATTATAAATACATCCACAAAAGAAAATTGTGAAAAGAAAAATGGAGACAGTGAAACATAAATTAAATTTAATAGAGTCAGAAGAATTAGCTCTATAAATAAAAAGGGTAAAACAAAACTTTTTGGAATATAAAAACAAGCTGGGAAAATGGTTGGCATATAAACTGAAAAAAGAAAGAGAGAAGAAACTGATAATAAACTATAAGATAAGAAGGGTGACTTCCAATTTCAAACTGATGCAATTAAAAAAACAAAGCATTTTATGAATAATTATATAATGTAGAAGGAATTTCTCAAGAAAAAATGATACAATACTTGGAAAATGCAAACTTACCAAAAATACCAGAAAACCTAAAAAATATATTAAATGAAAAAATTACAGTGATGGAAGTGATAGAAGCTATAAAAAAACAGAAAAACGATAAAACCCCAGGACCGGATGGGCTACCTGCAGAGGCTTTACAAATGTCTACAAGATACATTAAGTCTACCAATGAAGGAAGTACTGTATGTAACAAGATATTATTAGAGGCCAAACTACCAAACACATGGATGGAAACAAGTATTACTTTAATATCAAGAGAAGATTCAGGTTTGTCACAGATAAAAAAAATTATAGACCAATATTATTATTAAATGTGGATTATATTTTTTTGCCTCAATAATAGCAGAGAGATTGAAAAGGTTCTTGATTGAAATTACTACTGTTAGATTAGCAAAAATGTTTCAAAATATGTCTAGCAAATGTTGGATATGTAATCAAAATCCCGGTACATATTATCGCTTGTGGGGGACATGTATAGAAGAAAAAAAAAATGGACTAAAATACATACTTGGTGAGAAAAAATGTTAGCAAAGCATATAGATTTTAAACCTGAACCTTTTTTACTAGGCATAAGGCCAGAAAAGTTTGATAAACAAAATGTATATTTAACAATACATGGATTAACTGCAGCAAGGATTATATTATTATTAAATGTGGATTATAATTTTTTGCCTCAATAATAGCAGAGAGATTGAAAAGGTTCTTGAGTGAAATTACTACTGTTAGATTAGCAAAAATGTTTCAAAATATGTCTAGCAAATGTTGGATATGTAATCAAAACCCTGGTACTTATTATCGCTTGAGGTAATACAATGTATTAACTGCAGCAAGGATTGTATTTGCACAGCACTGGAAAAATGATATAACACCATCGAAGGAAGTGATAATTAAGAAAATATTGGACTGTGCAGAAATGGACAGGCTCACATTGAAAATCAAAGGAAAAGAAGATACAGAATAATTTTAAATACAGAACTTATTTCATCAATGATTGGAAAAGTGGGAAAGAGAGTAATAATTTAACCTTTATGACTAGGCAAAAACCAAGCCAGACAACACGTTGTTCCTTAAGCACAAATGAATTGTAATGAAAGAAAACTAATAAAATACTTTAAAAAAATCTGTTGCTTTTGATGGGAATACCAGCATTGTTCTGGTGTAGAATGGAAAACATGTTGTTGGCTAGCTCAAAGCTGCTTGTTGCATGTAAGGAAACTTAGGAGCATCACAAACCAGGGAACTGGCCTTTGACTTTGAGGGACTTATGGTAGGGCATTTTATTCAGTGGAATCTTTGGTGTTCTCTGAGCTTGGTTGTTTGTTTGCAGGTAATTTCATTGATTAATTTCCCAACTAAGTAACATCATCAATGCCTGATGATAGCACTGATAATGTTATCTACTCAGATAATGAAATATCTGCAAACAGGCAGTCAAAACCAGAGAGCATCAAGGAGTTTACAATTCAACACTGAGTTACACAGATTTTCTTCTGTTGAATCATTCAATGTTTTTTTTTAGAACTGGAGTCTCCTTTGAGAGTGAGTTGATAGTAAATTGAGATCTAAGAAATACATATTGTAAGAAGCCAGAGGAAATGTTGCCACAGATGGTGTTCTAGCAATTGCTAAGATAAGATGAAGTAAGCCTTTGCTTTCCATGCGTTGGACTAGGCTTTCCATAGTTTTGTAACATTGACCAGTTGGCTGAATCTGATAGGATCTGAAGCCCAAATGCAGAAAAATCTCAGGATAATGATGATTGAACTGGAGAGTCAGCAGCTTTTTCTGAACATTAAGGGGACTCTGAGATCATAGCCTGCTGAAATGAAACTGCTAGTGGAAAACTTTCACTAAAACAAAAATATTTTCATTGTATTTGGAAAAAGATCTTGAAAGTACCTTCTTGAATTCATGAACCCACTTTGGTGCTCACTTCCATTTTTAGAAGTAATCCCCTCATTCATATATTTCTCTGATTTTTCTTTCTGTTCAGAAGGCCCCGTTTTCTAGGTGTACGGAAAGTTGCCTCCCAGGATATACCAAGCTGATGAGAGAGGGAGAACCAGTTTGCTGCTATGACTGTTCTCCATGTATGGAAGGAACCATCTCTGTGCAGGAAGGTAGGTAATTCAAGAACAAAGAGCAGCACTAGTCTTTTATTCTAAGGATAATATAGTAGTATTAGGAATTGCACTTAGACTTATATATTGCTTCATAGTGCTTTACAGCATGCTCTAAGCAGTTTACGGAGTTAGCATATTGCCCCTCAAAAATTTGGGTCTTCATTTTACTGACCTCGAAAGGATGGAAGACTGATTCAACCTTGAGCTGGTCAGTATTGAACTCCAGGCTGTGGGCAGAGTTAGACTGCAATACTGCATTCTAATCACTGTGCCACCACAGCTCTGGTATTAGCAAGATTTGTTCTCGTATACCAATATGCTACATCTAGACTCAGGAAACAGACTAAAAACACTGCAAGAACTGTTCAGTGAAGGTAAAATTCACCATTGTGAATGTTTTCACAAGTTGCTGAAACAATAACAAGCAATTTTGAAAAAGATTGAGAGACCTTAAGAAATATGACAGCATTTGAAACACATATAGAAAACAAGATTTATGATTAAGAACCATATATAAGTTTCTTTTTGAAATACAACATGGAGATGGAAAAAAATAAACATTATTATGATAAAATGGATACAAAATGTCAAACAGTTGATCACAATACAAAAATGAGAAGAGCTTTCAAAAAGAAAAATACAGAAAATTCACACCAAGTTATAATTTAAGGGGAAATTGCTGCAAAATGTTTTCCAAGTGTTCCACAAATACACCAAGAATTGCAAAATAAACAAATAATAGAACATTTAAAGTTGGAAAAGCCATGATAAGAAGGAACATTTTATCATCTGTAGTGGTTATGCAGAAAAACCTCAAAAGCATTGGAATGAAATACATCAAATTATTCAGAAAAAATCCTATACAAAATGAACCAAAATCACAAATATTCTTTATAAGTATAGTTTAAAAAAAAATGCTAACCCTAACCTGAACAAATTTTTGAGAGAATTGGAAAAATAGATATTTTGTCAGTGATGTCAGATTGGGAGGTCAATTTGCAGAATATAAAGCAATAATATAATTGACAATGCGTACAGCAGTGATTCTTGGCAACATTAAGTCATGTGGACATGAACTCCCAGAATTCCTTAGGAGTCATGGAATTCAGGGAATTGGGGAACTTTTAAAAAGAATAGCTCTCATATGTGGAACACATTGCACAGCAGGATATATTTAAAGCTTTAGAACATAATTTTTAACTAGAAACTTTTGAGATGAATCAAAACTAATATCAGATACCAGCAAGAATCTTTACACTTTAAAGTAAAACACACACAGAGAGAAACAAATAGATTATGTGTGGAAGTTGTGTTTGTATGTATTGTGTTTATTCTACTCACAGCTTGGGGAAATAACAAAAGGGAAGAATGTTTTCCATAAACATAATCAACTACTTTATTCATGCTTAGTAATTAAGCATTTTTCCCTTGCATTTCATTATTTTAATAATATTTTTTTAAAGAGAGAGAGAGGGGGGGGGAGAGAGAGAGAAAGAGAGAGAGACAGACAGAATCTTTATTGCTCTTTATTGCTCTATCTACATTCTGTTTCTGGTCGGTTGGTCATGATGTGCTGAATGTCATTGAACCACTATTTAAAAAGCAATTGTGTTTTCCAGATGTAGCCCAATGTGCAAAATGTCCAGATGACCATTTCTCCAACGAGAAGCGGGATCAGTGTGTTGCCAAAGTTATAACTTTCCTGTCCTACAGAGAAAACCTAGGTGTCATCCTGGCTGTCTTTGCCCTTTTTTTGTCTCTTACCACTGCCTTAGTTCTAGGAATTTTTATTAAATATCGAGAAACTCCCATAGTCAAAGCTAACAACCGTGATCTCACCTACATTCTGCTGATCTTTCTCCTGCTTTCCTTCTTGACTTCCCTTCTATTCATTGGTCAACCCAAGAAAGTGACCTGTCTTCTTCGACAAACTGCCTTCAGTGTTGTTTTCTCAGTTGCTGTGTCATCCTTGCTGGCCAAGACTATCATGGTGGTGATGGCATTTCTGGCCACAAAGCCAGGAAGCAAAATAAGGAAATGGCTGGGGAAATCTTTGGCCAATTTCATCATCTTCTCCTGCTCTGGTGTTCAGGTGGGCATCTGTTTCATATGGCTGGGAATCTTTCCCCCATTCCCAGATTCTGATTTATATTCCCAAAAAGGGCAGATCCTACTGCAGTGCAATGAAGGTTCAGTCATCATGTTCTATTCTGCCCTTGGCTACTTGGGCTTTCTGGCTTCCATCTGTTTCTTGGTGGCTTTTCTAGCCCGAAAACTACCAGGGGGCTTCAACGAAGCCAAGTGGATCACCTTCAGCATGCTGCTCTTCTGCAGTGTTTGGGTTTCTTTTGTCCCCGCCTACCTGAGCACCAAAGGAAAATACATGGTGGCTGTGCAGATCTTCTCCATCCTGACCTCCAGCCTCGGCTTACTTGGCTGCATCTTTGTCCCGAAATGTTATATCATCATTCTGAGACCTGACATGAACGCGAAGGAGCATCTAATGATTAAAAACAATGAGTGATCTTGATTTTGACAGTTATATTTTATCCACATTATTGCTAAATTAAAATAAGACATTGTAAACAGTTATTTGTTCAAAGAATTTTTTCTTTCTCCCATGTGATTAATCTTACTATCAATAAATCGCATAGTGAAATTTATTGATGTTTCCTCCACCAATTTAAAACCATGTCATTTGTCTTCTAGCCTACATTTCTCAATATCCATTCAATGTACGAGATGCATACATAAGAGAGGAGAATACAGTGTTGTCTCATTTCTTTGCTGATCTGGGATCATACTGTTTAACTCTGTTCTGTTCAGAGTCTGGCTTCGAGTCCTTGTGTAAATTTTTTAAAAGGACAAAGAGATATTGTCAGATTGTCATTTCTCAAAAACATTCCATAGCTCAACATAATTTCTTTTAATTCTTCATTTATTTTAAAAGATTTGTATGGCCACATATGTTAAGATATATTTTATGTTTTATAATGTTCAAAAGCCATGATTTTAACCAGTGAAAAAAGTAAGGTTCTACATGTAGGCAAGAAAAACCAAATGTACAGGTATAATATAGGTTGTACCTTGCTCAATAGTAGTAACTGTGAGATGGATCTCGGACTCCTAGTGGACAATCACTTAAATATGAGCCAGCCTTGTTCTGCAGCTGCCAAAAAAGCCAGCACAGTGTTAGGCTGCATTAACATAGGGAGAGAATTAAGGTCACGTGAAGTGTTAATACCACTTTACAATGCCTTTGTAAGGCCACATTTGGAACACTGCATCCAGTTTTGGTCACCACGGTGTAAAAAAGAGGTTGAAACTCTAGAAAGAGTGCAGAGAAGAGCAACAAAGATGATTAGGCGACTGGAGGCTAAAAGATGTAAGGAACGGTTGATGGAATTGGGTATGAGACAATCAACCAGCCCCAAAGAGAAAAAGACTCCAGTACACCTCCACTAGCAATCAGCTCTCAGATCAGCATAGATAACTTCAAAGTCAACTTCAGACCTACAATCAATTAACAATACCCCAATCAAGAAAATGCCAAAGAGCCATTAATAAACAGCCCAACCATAGAATCCCTAAGACCATTCCCACCCACCCAGACAGGCAAGACACCAGAATATAAACTGACAACAAACAGCTCTCCTTACTAGCACTGATATTATTACCTAGTTAGGGTAACTTGTACTTAGGGTAAACATCTTCTAGAAAACAAGCAAGCTCTGAAAACAACAAGGGCCCGTTTCTTTTTAACTAGCCAGTGGGGACATTATAATTTATTCTTATTCTGTCTGGTGTGTATCACATAGAAGATCAGCTATTCCATATGGTTGCCTCCAGATCATGATATAGCAATAGCAGTAGCACTTAGAGTTATAGACTGCTTCACAGTGCTTTACAGCCCTCTCTAAACAGTTTACAGAGTCAGCGTATTGCCCCCAACAATATGGGTCCTCATTTTACTGTCCTTGGAAGGATGGAAGGTTGAATTAACCTTGAGCCAGTCAGGATTGAATTACTAACAGTAAGCAGAGTTAGTCTGCAGCACTGTATTCTAACCACTGCGCCACCATGACTGTGTATGACTAACATCAACTTTTTTTTTGAATGAAAAAATACTTTCCTCTCTGTGCCTGTATAGAGCATAAGTAGATATGGATTGAGTTATTATGGGTTGACATATGGGTATGTAATGCCATCATAGCTAGATCTTCTTCAAGATGATCTCTGACACTGTAATTAAGCCCATCCATATTGCTGCTGGTCATCCACTACTTCTCTTTCCTTCTACCTTTGCTCAGATCTGGATACCACATTTTTTCAGACTTGTCTGGTAATAAGCACTTTTCTCCCTTGTGCAGACTATTTCAATGTGTTGTAGTACATGTGAGTTTCTTCGAAGCCAATTCAGCAGCTTTAACTGGACTAGAATCCAATTACAGAGCTGTTGGTAGGTCAAAAAAGATCCCACATTGGCTTCCTATGACCTTCTGAATGCAATTTAATCTGTTGCTTTTGAGCTTTTAAGCTGTATATAGTTTTGCCATGGAGTATTCACAGGAACATTTTCTCCACCAAATTTCAGCCTACCTTACTCAAATATCACTGTGAGTTCTGCCACTTTCATGAGATAAGAGGACTGGAATTCATAAGCATGCCTTTTCAATGGGGACACTGCACTTTGAGATACAACCAACAGTGTATGCTTTCCTTTTTTTTCTTATTGTGAGAAATATGCTCACATAAATGAAAAACAAATACATATGAAGAGTATGGAAACAGAAAGATAAGTAATATAGTTACAATGCAAAGCTTCTTCTGGAACACATGAGAACTGTTGAAAGTCATTTGGAATTGAGCACAGTTCAGATCAGTGAATCTATATTCTCCTTCAATAATTTAAACCTTTCTCATTTTTTGCTAGATAACAGATATTTTATCTATTTGTGTGTGGATATGTGTATGTGTATGTATATGCATGTTTATGTATGTATATAAATAAATGTTCTGAATGCACCGCACATATAGAGTTTAGGGAGACTGAGACAAAGTCCAGTGAAGCAAGATAAGCACTTGGAAGCTCAGCTGCTGGTTTCATCTGCATTGCATCTGAATTTCCCAGAGACTGGGAAGAGCTGCTAGCTGTGAGTATAACTAAAAATCTAAAACAGCAGTAGTACATTCAGGATAAATGCGTCTATGATTGCAATTTTATTTTAGTTTCAGAATATCTGGCTTAGTTCAGTGCAATACTTGTTTTGCAGCTGTCTTTTGGGGTATTCTTCAAATTTGGATACTGTCCTATTTGTAAACAAATTATTAGTCTACATGGACAGATTGCTTATCTAGAGTCTCTAGTCTGTGCTCTTCAGGCAGAAGTTAGGTATCCAACTCAGCAATTCTCTGCTTTATTGACCTGTCATGCTATCAGCACCGTTTACCACAAAGATCCTTCAGGAGAATGACAGTATATACAACTGTGGGATCTATAAGGGGGAGAGATGTGAATCAGAAGCACAAAGCTTTCTCTGTCTCCCTGCTTAATAGATATAGTGCCCTTGCTGACCTTAATAGGGATATTAAGGTGGCAGGTCAAGCTGGTTGTGATGATGATGATGACAACTCAAATGAGCAGGGGATTATGATCCAATATGCAGAACTTGTTTTGGATAGGGGAAAGTGTGAATCAGGTTATACACATCAGTCATTCAAATAGAGCAAGGCATCCAAAAACAGAAGCCAACCTTCTGGTTGGTGATTCAGTTATAAGGGATGTAAATTTAGGAAAGAATATGGAGATTTTGAAAGAGGTCAGGTGTAAGGACCTGCCTCAGTTAAACCTCCCAAGAAAGCAGAACTCTTGAAACTTGCATTGTCTCAACAGGAACTTTTATTGGAAGGTATTGACAGCAGGATAGTAAGGCAGGATCTGAGGATTTCCCATGTAAAACATTATATTAAAAGAATCCTTTCAAATCCCATCCCAACTGTCCATCCAGCTGGTTCAAATTGAGCCAATCCATAGGTGTCAAATTTCTGTAGGAAAGAATCGATAAGTTGCTGTTCTCAAGGCTGTCAGGTTTCTCTGCAGCTTCTTTCCTCCACCTGGAGATAAAGCAGAGGGCTGGAGGCACATTCCATTCTCACCCAAGAAAGATGCTTCAAAAAGAATAGAACAAAGCAAAAGAAGTACACTGCAGAATACCCATAGGTCCCTCTCCTCCCATTGGAATGGCAGAATCTGAAAATGAAAGCATAAGAAAGAAAGATAAAATGCATTGGATTCTAACATCAGGTGTCTGCCAGGTGCTACTGCCAGCAGAGACAAAAGACATATTTTGAAGATAGTCAAGAATACTAGTAAGGACTGTGATATTGATGCTATTGTACATCTTGGCATGAATGATCTGTCCCAAAAAGATGTACTCTCTGTGCAGAATGATTTCCAGAGTTTGGGCAGGAACTTAGTAGGATAGGCTTTAGGCTTACTTCTTTAATGGTTTTACCACTATATAAGGACCAACAAGGAAAAGGCCAGTGTATATCAGATTTCAATATGTAGCTAAAGGGATTGAGTTAAATCCACAGATTTTCTGGAGAAACATTCAAACTAAATAACAGGGACAGTGAGTTAATTGATATAGAACATTTCTGTCCCCAGCAATCTAAAACTAATAGGATTATCAGTACATGTAAGATAGATGTTTTGCAGGTAAGAATATCAACCTTGCTGTCAAGCAAAATCAAGCTTTTAATAGTGAGTGTCGCACCAAGATAGGTAGTAATCACAACAATGATGAAAACTGTTTTGAATGCATTTGGGTCAATATAATAAAAGGGGGAAAAATGACATTGCCGTAGGTGTATACTATAGGCCACTCAACGAAACAGAGGAAGTAGATGAAGTTTTTGTTAGTCAGTTAACTAAGGTATGTAGGTAGCATATCACAACAGTAATGGGTGATTTTAACTACCCTAACATTAACTGGAAGACAAACTCTGCACTAAGTGGAAGATCAAATAGGTTCCTGACAAACCTAGCAGACAACTTTGTCTCCCCAAAAGTAGAAAAAGGAAGCAGCCATATTGAACTTAATTCTCACTAACAGAGATGAAATGATAGAACAGTGATTCTCAACCTTTCTAATGCCGTGACCCCATAATACAGTTCCCCATGTTGTGGTGACCCCCAAGTGGGTGTGGCCACCAATAAGAGGGAGTAGGACAGCTAGGGAAAAGGGAAAAAAATGGTGGACAGCATGGTTTGGCGACCCCCGTGAAATGGTCATTCGACCCCAAATGGGGTCCCGACCCACAGGTTGAGAACCACTGTGATAGAAGGTGTTGAAACCACAGGAACCTTGTGCTGGCTAGAAAAGAAATGCCTTATTTTCTCTGCAGTATGCACCTAGGAGGCAGTGGGTCTGTGGAATTTAAATGTATTTAAGCATTTGTTTCTTCTGCCTAATTTATTAAATCAATATGTAATTCAAAATTCAATGTTTCTGAGAAATC